GTATTAGTAACCAAGATCTGGATGATAGGTGTGTTGTTGCTCCTGGGATTTTGTTACTGACAGAGCAAGGTAATATGTGATCTTAGGTCAGCATCTTTTCCCCCATTCCTTCAGAGAGGTTGCTTTTACATATTATATCATATCATATATCATAGAATGTGGCATATGCAATACTGTGTTACTTTCCAAGGTTAGGTCATAAAAAGTATATGGCTTCTGCTTGGCTCCCTCATTTTTCTCTTAGGATATGATCCTCTCCTCCCCCTCTGCTCCTTTGGGATCTAAACACCATGCTATGAGGAAGCCCAAACTAGTCCAGTTGTAGAGAAATATACATAGACAGAAATAGTCCTTCAGCCTATAGCCAGCCTCAGATGTCAGTCATATGAGTAAGCAAGCTTTTAGATGATTCTAGGCCCCAGACTTCATGGAATAGAGCTAAGCCATCCCTACTGTGCCCTGCCAAATTCCTGTCCTATAGTATCTACGAACATAATAATGGTTGTTTTCTACAACAAATTATGGAGTTATTTATTATGTAGACATAGTAACTAGAACAACTCTAATTCCCAACTGACATGCTGTTGTTATATATTTTATTCCTTTTAGTTTGTATTATAAAACTTACGTATTTTGACATCTTTCAACTCAATTAAACCTTATTTTTGTTTACACAATATTTGCTTATATTTAAACATACATCATGTTCTTTGTTCTTTATTCCTTTTAAAAAATAATTTTTAAAAATTATGGTAAAATTGCCCTACCTGGTTAGTTCAATGGTTAGAGAGTTGACTTGTGGATCGAAGGTTCTCGGGTTCAATTCCTGGTCAAGGGGACATACCTCGGTTGCAGGTTTGATCCCCAGCTCTGTCAGGGCCATGCAAGGAGGCAACCAACTGATGTGTCTTTCTCACATCGATGTCTCTCTCTCTCTACCTACTTCTGTATCCCTTCTCCCCTCCCACTATATCTAAAAATCAATGGAAAAATATTCTCTGGTGAGGATTTAAAAAAATTATGGTAAAATAATATAACAAAATTTACCATTTTAACCAGTTAAAAAAAAGTTGTTTTTTTTTTTCTATTGATTTTTAGAGAGAGAGGAAAAGAGAGGGAGAGAGAGATATATCAATGAGAGAGAACACTGACTGACCGCCTCCCGCATGCCCCCCACTGGAGATTGAGCCCACAACCTGGGCATGTGCTCTGACTGAGAATCGAACTGGCAACCTCTTGGTACATGGGTCGATGCTCAACCACTGAGCCACAACAGCTGGACCCATTTTAACCAATTTTAAGTGTACAGTTTATTTGCATTACATATATTCACATTGTTGTGCAACCATCACCACGATCCATCTACAGAGCTTTTTCATCTTCTAAATCAAACCTCCATACCACGTAAAGCAGTCACCCCGTACCACACTCATAGCCCCTGGTAACCACCTTTCTACTTTCTGTTTCTGAATTTGACTACTGTAAATTCATATGAGAGGAATCAATATTTGTTGTTTTGCAGCTGGCTTGTTCCACTTAGCTAATGTCTTCAAGGTTCATCTAGGTTGTAGCATGTGTCAGATTTTTCTGTCTTTTTAAGGCTAACTAATATGCCATTATATGTATATACATAACATGTTTTATCTATGTATCCACTGATGGACATTTGGGTCATTTTTATGTTTTGTCTATTGTCAGTAATGCTGCTGTGAACGGGGGTATATAAATACATCTTTCAGTCCCTTTGGATGTACACCCCAAAAAAAGATGTTTTTGGATTATATGGTACTTTATTGAGGAACCACCAAACTGTTTATTTCTTTAGCAGCTGCATCATTTTACATTCCCACCAGCAGTGCACAAGTATTCCAATTTCTCTACATCCTTACCGACACTGGTTGATTTCTTTTATTGTTGACAACAGCCATTTTAATGTGTGTAAAGTAGTATCTCATTGTGGTTTTCATTTGTTCATCATTCTTGTCATTAGGGAATTTCAAATTAAAACAATAATTAGATACTACTGCACACCTATAAAATGGTGAAAATCCAAAACACTGGCTCTCTTTTGTGACTCTTATACCTTTAGTAGTTCCTCTGTTTTCTTTTGTTTCAATATAATTGATAATTGATTATTAAAATATTTTTTATGATGGCTGTTTTAAAATTCTTGTTAAACAATTATAACATCTGATTCATCTTTGTCCATTTGTGTCCACTGATTATATTTTCTTGATCAGGTTGTGCTTTTTTTTCTCGTTTTTGGTATGATGAGTCATTTTGAATATATCCTTGACATTTTGGTTACTAGGAGACTCTTAATTGTATTTAAATCTTTTCTAGTAGCACATAGTTGCCCTGTTTTGCTTTAATGTGGTGGTTTTTGCCTACTTTTGAGAATTTTGTTTTCAATGACAGTTAAGTGTTTAGAATCCTAGCAGTGGTATTTTGGTCTAATTTTCTCATAATTCTAGGATTCCAGCTCAGTTTTTGTTGGTATTATGTGGGTGGATGGGAGGTCCGTCTCCCCTCCCTCCCTCCCTCCCTCTCTCCCTCCCTCCCTCCCTCCCTCCCTCCCGAGGATATTTTTACATTTATCTTCAAACAGTGGGGTGGGGGAGAAACATCAATGTGAGAGAGACACATCGATTGGTTGCCACCCATATGGATGAACCACAACTGAGGTACATGCCCTTTGTTGGAATCGAACCTGGGACTCCTTGGCCCATAGGCCGACGCCCTAACCGCTGAGCCAAACTGGCCAGGGTAGGAGGTACTTTCTTAAGAATCCTGATGTCCTTACTTACTCAAGGAAGTTGGGGTCAGAAGCTGCTGGGAATGGATCTGCATTGGTACCCTTGTTGGAAGCAGAATCTGGGATGACCTGGCGCGTCAATACTATCAGTGGATCAAAATTTCACCTTGTTCTGTGAAGCAGTGGCTGCAAAGGTCAGAGGCTCCAGTACTCTGGAGCTTCCTGTGGATCATATGTCCTACCATCTGTGACTTAAAGAGGGGACAGGGTTGGCACGGGGCCTTGCTACTCTGCTGCTGCTGTCCCATAGTACTTATGGAATGGGGCCTGGCACTGCTTAAGGGTTTGCTGCTCTGCTACTGATGCAGAATGGAGAGCTCCAAGGATTGGGTTGTGGAGTGGCAGTGGGAGTTTTCCACAAAGTCTCTGAGTGTTTCCCTTCTCTAAATTTTTTGGCCAGAGAATGCAGGTCCTCCCCCCGCCCCCCTTATTATTGGTCATTCTGGGTAGCAGGCCTCTCTAGAGCCCAGAATGGGAGTATTTATATATTTTAAAGGAAACCCAGGGGATTAACCACATTGTCTGTTGTTGCTTAAGGCTTGAGGTTTCTAGCAAACTATCCTCTTCCTTCCAGCTTTCAGAGTTATGTTATTGTTGTTTGATGGATGATTACCAGGGAATTTAATTGTATTTAGAGTGAAAAGCAGGAAAAAGTGAGTTTATGCCATCTTATTTGAGAATCAAAAGCTATTTTCGCTTGTATTTAAATTTTTATTTTTTAAATCTTATTTATTATTTTATCCTCATGTAAGGACAATTTTTGATATTTTGTTCAGATAGAGCGGGAGGGAGAGAGAGAGAAACATCGACGTGGAAGGGACACATCGAGTGGTTGCCAGGGCCGGGGACAAACTGCAACTGAGGTACCTGCCCTTAGCGGGAACCGAACCCAGGTTTCTCCGGACCCCAGGCCGATGCTCTAATCGCTAAGCCAAACCGGCCAGGGCTGTATTTAAATTTTTTAACATATGTTTTCATTGATTTTTTAGAGAGGGAGGAAGGTAGAGGGAGAGAGAGATGGAAACAGATGTGAGAGAGAAATCGATTGGCTGCCTCCTGCATGCCCTTACTGGGGATTGAGCCTGCACCCTGGGCATGTGCCCTGACCAGGAATATAACTGGCAACCTCTTGGTGCATGGGACTACGCTCAATCCACTGAGCCACACCAGCTGGGCTGTGTTTTTATTTCTTTTTATTTTTTTATCCTCACCCGAGGACATCTTTGCATTTATCTTCAGATAAAGTGGGAGGGAGAAAGGGGGGGGGGGAGAGAGAAACATCGATGTGAGAGAGACACATCGAGTGGTTGCCACCCACACAACCCCAACTGGGCCAGAGACAAACTGTAACCAAGGTACCGTGCCCTTAGTGGGAAACGAACCCGGGACTCTATGGTCCGCAGGCAATGCTCTAACCACTGAGCAAAACTGGCCAGGGCTGGGCTGTATTTTTAATTTTTAATCTTTGTTTCTTAAGAGTATGAATTACTATAAATATTACCCAGCCATTCTACTTTTTCTTTTATATTTTAAGGTTGAGGGTAAAGAGAATGTACATATTCTTTTTGCCTTTTTTTTTTTTTTTTTGAATTTTTTTACAGATTTCCCCATTCTCCCCCTCCTTTGCCCTCCTCCACCCAGCCCCACCCCCATCCCTTCTCTACATATTCTTTTTATATATAAAGATATATATATAAATATTTACTCTTTATATACACACATATCTATTATATATCTCTATATCTGTATACTATATATATTTCTGTATGTTATTCTGTATATGTGTATGTATATGTATAAATATGTGCTCATCAAGCTGCCCTAGTTTACTGACTCTTAATCTAAAGATTGAATCTCATAATTTCTTTAAGATTACTTAATTTGTTTTAGCCAAGTATAAATTTATTCTGATTTTGAGTAAGTTGACTATCAGTAAACTTGTGAATTTTCTGTTTTAGGATTCCTGTCATTTTAAAATTCAGAGTGTGAACCAAATACATATTTCAGTTCATTAATTTAATAAATTACAACCTTTAAACTATGTGCTTAATGTATTTTAATTGTAGATCTTTGATTATAAACTTAATGATCTGTGAGTCTCCTGAAAATTATTTTTAATGAAATTTTAAAAAGGTTCTAATATTATTTAAAAATTTTTAAATATCTTCATATAATTTTCTTCTAGTTCAGGTCCATGAAGTTTATCAGAAAATTTTGGCAGCTGATGTTGGTTCTAAAAATACAGCTGATTCAAGAAAAATGTCAAGTACAAAATTCAAAAATCATCACAATGACGCCAATGAAGAATTATACTTACCTGTTGGTTCTCCTTTTGTTCTTTTGGATGCAAAAACATCTGTACCACAAAATGCTATTTCATCTATTGGCCAAAAGAGAGAGACCTACACTTTTGAAGATTCAGTCAATATGCTGTCTTCAAGTACAGATATTTCTCTTAAAACCAAAAAAAGGTGAATTTGTAAAATTTAAATATTCTATAAAAGTTTTACTTTTTATATTAAAATATGTAATTCACTCTTCTATGTATTTTTATAGTAAGTATTGAGGAATATTAGCATGTTATGAGAAGAGTATAACATATTCAGTATATATCCTGTTTATATTTAATAAGGAAGGTCTTAAAGTGTACTTCAGAGAAGCTGGGGATAGCTTTTCTATTGTCTGTGGCAAAAAATTTTTTTTTCTGATTAAGTTTTTTCTAATTTCCTAAGAGAAACAATTTGTATTTTCTTTGTGTTATTTGTGATTATAAGGGTAGGTATGTATCAGATCATTTCTAGCATAGCAAAGGATAAGGATAATTAAAGGTGACTTATGGTAAACGCATTTCCATTTTGGGGGACTTTCCCTTTGGCCTTTAGGAAGCAAGGGGACCTGTACAATGAATGTAATTTCTGTCTAGGGTCTTATGTGATTTTTGGAGCCAAGGAGTTAAGTACATTTTAAGATTTTGCTATTTAAAGTGTGGTCTGTGGCTAAGGATCTGAGCAATGAATGGCATTATCTGGAAGCTTGTTAATAATACAGGAAGTCATCACTAAATATCATTAATAGGTTGTGTGACTTTAAGTGAAATGAAGTGTAACGAAACCTATTTACCATAGGCTAATTGATATAAATAGGAGTTAAATTCTTTTGGCATTTCATTGTTAGTGATGATGCAACTAAGATGAATGAAACAGCATTATTTAAGAATCTGCTGTACAAAATCTAAAACTGTGTCCTAGACCTACTAAATCAGAAACTAGCATTTGAATAAGATTCTCCAAATGATTCAAATTCATATTAAATGTTTGAGAACTAGTGCTCTAAGGTATACATTTTCTTGGTGTATGATTTATCTTTTTAATTTGTTTTCTATTGGCAAATACAAAACTTATTTTTACTGAGTGATTTGCCTTGTATATTTAGTATAAGAGATAGCAAATCAGTATTTATAAATTTTAAATAAAGGCTCAGTGGAAATTTTTGTAAGTGGTCTGTGTTGTTACTATAAGGGAGTTCAGGAAAACTTATAACTTAACAGACGGAGCATTCAGCTTGTCTTCTTTTTAACCTTTCAGGTTAGACTTTGAAGATAAAAACATTTTGAAGAAAGCAGAAATAGAGAATAAAATATCAGATATAGTGGATGAAGTATCAGAAAGACCACCAGAGAGAAAACCATCAGAAACATCTCAGAAAATAATACAAAATTCAGAATATGAAATTCAATCACAAGCTAAAAAGAGTTTTTCAACATTGTTTTTAGAAACTTTAAAAAGAAAAAGTGAATCCAGGTAAGTTATTGAGAAACTGTCCTTTGAGACATTTTTTCTTTCACATTCTATGAACAACAATATCTCAGGATTCTGAATGCTATTTTTAACTAGAAGTGAATCTTAATTGCTTTATACATCTCTTGCCTCTGGCTCTTTCCCAGTTATATTCTTTTACAATAAACCAGTGGTCTTGTAGCATGTTTTTCTGAGTTCTGTGAGTTGTTCTAGCAAATTAATCAAACCCAAGGAGGGCATTTTGGGAATCTCATGTATAGCCAGTTAGTCAGAAGTACAGGTAACAATCTGGACTTAACTATTGGCATTCAGACTTGGAGGGGGTTGTTGAGAACCTACAGTCTGTAGCTTATTGGTCAAAAGCACAGGTAGTATGGTACTGTGGCTAGCATCTGAAGTGAGTGTATGTGTGTGTGTGTCGGGGAGTGGTAGTCTTGTAGGACTGAATCCTTAACCTGTGGCATCTAACCCTGTCATGGGGTAGATAGTGTCATAATTGAGTTGGGTTCTCACATATGCTACTGATGTCTCTGAACTCCTCTACTATATTAGAATTGGGTCTGGAAACCCAATTTAAATGAGAAGAAATCTAAAGAGACATCTATGCAAACATATAAGTTAATATAACTATATGTAATAATGACATGCATTTTTGGACTATCTGTCAGTGTATCTGGGCTGTATTTACACATCCTTGAGTTTCAACTTTTTAATAAATATACAGTTGAGGGCAGGGGTGGGTATCAAATTAGTTGATATTTAGATTTTCTTTCAGCTTTAAATTTTTGTGATCCCATTAGTGTTATAAATGATTGTGATCAGACTATAGAAATATAAAAGAGGAAAGGCTTTTTAAGGGTAAAGGAAAATTGAGGAGACATGCAAACTGCTGTGTAAAAGATACGTATATTTTATTCGTGTAGATTATTTTACTATATATATAATACTATGTAGATTATTTTCTTCAGTAAGTAAAGGTAAAAGCTATTTTTTGAGCTATATTTATTGTAACATCTTTTTTTAGTCCTGTTTTTAGGTATATAGCAACTGCTCCACCTCAGTCATCTCTTGCAAATGATAAGAATTTAGAGGATGAATTTATAATTGATGAATCAGATAGTTTTGCTGGTCGGTCTTGGATTACTATACCAAGAAAGGCTGTGCCTCAGAAACAATGCGCAGTATCCCCTACTGAGAGTACTGTGGTCCTTCAAAGTAAGAAATCAAGAGAAAAACATCACAGTGTAACACCTACAACTTTGACAAATGACAAACATTCTGGCAAAGCTCCCCCAGTACAGAAATCTCAGCCCTCTGATCAAAGAAATGTGGGTAGAAATTGTGCTTTGACAGATGAAATGAAAAATAATTGTAGATCTACAAAAAATGAGATGTATTCTAAGAATGCAGAAAAATCATCTGGAAACAAAAGGATTATAAAACAAAAACAGAAAAGAAAAGTTAAGCCCAGTGTAGTTGAAGAAGAGGTTGATGTGGAACAAGCTAAAGATAAAAATATAAATGTGTCACATATTGCCCAAGACAAGTCACAGAGAAATTCAGACAGAAGTGTGGAAGTGTGTGAAGAGAAGAGAAAAGTTCATATTTCTAAAAAACAGATACCACCTGTGGGTAAGTGTTTATATTAAATATAACTACAAACATTATTCTACTACTCTTAGGTTTTTGTAATATTTCTGTTTAGCTTTTGGAAATATGGAAGTAAACCTAAATCTACAAAGAGCCTCAGAAGCCCATAGGTTGTTTTCTAGAATCTGTTTATTTTACATGTAATTCAGTTCCAGGTCACTTGATTTTTTTGGTAACTTCTAACATGGCAAGGACATATGAAGAGAGAAGTGAGAGGGAAGGGCTAGTAAACCACGTAGGTACAAGAACTCAAATAAGACAGCGTCATATATTCTTGAGGTTTATTTAAATATAAATTGGAGGAAAAACACAGGATGGTGTGGGGCTGTTTCTTGTAGGATAAAAATTTATACTCTTCTAGTCCATTATTCACTCATCTAACAGTTATAAAATGCCAAACAAGGTATTAAACACTGAAATAACAAAGATTACTAAGACATAATTTTCACCATTATAAAAGATCACTCTGGTGGAGTCATTTACCAACAGATACACATATGTTCACAGGATGATAATGGAAGCACAGAGGATAATTATCTTACTAATATCTCAGTAGATCTTTTAAATCTTGGGTCACTATATCATTTATCATCCAAATTGGGACACTTGAGCATGAGAGGGTATGTCAAGGACAGTAGGCATAAATGCGATTGTCCCAGATAAATCTGGAGTATGGCCACCCTCATGTCATTATTGTATAGTGATTGAGGTTTTTAATGATGACACCCTCATGAAGAATAGGTCAGTGTACGTTCTGTATACTATTTTATAAGTAATAGAAAAGGTAGTTTTTTTAACAGAAAGAATTTTCTCCAGAATAATTAGTAGAATGGAAAACACTTATCAAATGTATTAAATACTTTATGTAATATAATTTAATTTTTCTTGACAATTCTATAAGATAGGAGATAACAGAGGAGGCTAAAACACTGGCCCAGGACCTGTCCCATTCTAGAGCCTATATTTTTTCAGCTTTATTAAGAAGTTTTAAAATAAGTGAAATGTGTTTTTGATGCTCACATTGGAAAAACTGTTAGCAAACCAGAAAACTCTCTTGACCAGAATTGCTTATGTGTTTGAAGGCTCCAGATGACTATACTGTATTGCTGATTTAGAGGGGAGAAAGATCATATTAAGTTGCAATATTTAAGCTAGTTTTTATAAAAAATTCTGGTTTAATATTATTGCATAATTACTCATTATTTTAGCTTTTTAAAATATATTTTATAATATAGATTTTATATCACCAGAAATAATAGTTGTTAGATTTCAATTTTGTCTGTGTGTACCTTTGTGTATTTGAAAACTTCTGCTTGAAGTAGAGGAAAAAAAGAAACCTTTTCTGTATTGAGAACCCCTTTTGTAAATGTTAGACGTGTGCTATATTTTTATTGAATTGTTCTTAATTTTTTGGCTTCCTTCAGTTTCTAATTAGCAGTTGACCATTTTAAGAAAATGCAACATAAAGAATCTGACTACAGCCCTGGCCAGTTTGGCTCAGCGGTTGGAGCGTCGGCCTGCGGTACTGAGAGACCTGGGTTCGGTTCCCGCTAAGGGCACGTACCTCGGTTGCAGTTTGTCCCCAGCCCTGGTTGGTTGTGTGGGTGGCAGCCACTCGATGTGTCCCTTCGCATCGATGTTTCTCTCTCTCTCTCTGTTCCTCTCTCTCCCTCCCGCTCTATCTGAACAAAAAATGGAAAAAATGTCCTCGGGTGAGGATAAAAAAAAAAAAGAATCTGACTACAGTGAGGCTGATAGTTATATTACATGAAAGTTTGTTTTTTAATATGTTTTTTTAATTGATATTTTTAGAGAGAGAGGAAGGGAGAGAGAGATGGAAGCATTGATCGGCTGCCTCCTGCACACCCCTCACCAGGGACTGAGCCTGTAACCCGGGCATGTGCCCTGACCAGGAATTGAATTGGGACCTCTCAGTCCATGGGATGATGCTCAATCCACTGAGCCACACTGGCTGGGTGAAAGTTTGTTTTCTTACCAGTCCCTTAAGTAGAGTATGAATTCACAAAATTTGAAGACACAAGATTTTGATTTATCCATAATTTCTTAGGAAGAAATATATCAAGAAAGTATACTGAAGGATACTCTCTTTAATTAAAAATGTTAAACATTTATTGTGTACCTACTATATTTTGCACACTAATTTTCAGATATATTGAATTTCATTTTATCTAGACTGGTCAGGAAATACAAAATATGATTAGTTACCATACCAATTGTATTCATTTTCTATTGCTGTCATAACAAATTATTACATACTTAGAAACTTAAAGCAACACACATTTATTATCTTGCAGTTCTGTGGGTCAGAGGTGTGAGATGGATCTCACTGGCATAGGTGTTGACATGGTTGCATTCCTTTCAGGTGATTCTAGGAGCAACTGCCTTTCAGCCCCTTGATGTCACCTATATTTGAACCATTGCTCCCCTCTTGCATCTTCAAAGCCAGCAGTGCTAGCCTTCTCACATTTCAAATTTTCAATTGCTTTTTATTCCATCAACCTATCTCTCTTGCTGACCACTACTTTTCAGGACACATGTAATGAAATTGGGCCAACCTGGATAATTCAGTATACTCTCCCTATTTTAAGGTTTATAACCTTAATCACATTTGCAAAGTCTCTTGCCATGTAGAGTAGCATTTTCACAGATTTTGTGTATTAGGGTAAAGACATTTTTGGGAGGCATTCTGCCAACCATATCAGTTTTCAAAGATGGATAATATGAAGCTAGGTTAATTCCAAAGATATTTTTACTCTAAAGATACTTTGTCTTTCATTCAAAAGGCACTTGCCCTGCGGTGTGGCTTAGTGGTTTGAGCATCGACCCATGTACCAAGATATCACAGGTTCGATTCCCAGCAGGGCACATGCCCAGGTTGTGGGACAAATCCCCAGTGGGGGGCATGCAGGAGGCAGACAGTCAGTGTTCTCTCTCATCCATGTTTCTGTGTGTGTGTGTGTGTCTCTTTCTAAAATCAATAAAGGAAACAAAACAAAACAAAACAAAAGGCACTCGACAAATTTGTAATGCCTAAATTAATGACTTGGGTTCAGCCAGTTGACTTTTTCACTTTGATGTCTGATAGGCTTTTCAAGTAGAACATATTGGAAACTAAATTCTGCAGACTTGCTTCTCCTCTAGTTTTCCTATCTTCATAAATGGACCCATAATAAATTTAATAGCTCAAGAAAGAAACCGAATCATCTTTAACTCTTTACATAGCAACCCATGTGAAGTCAGTAAGTCTTTGACTTCCTCCTAAGTAGTTTTTGATATGTTACTTCTCTCCATTTTCTCCTGCTACTCAGTCAAGCTAGAGTCATTTGTTTCTGGTTTGTTGTAGCAGTTTATGCACATAGCTGCTGGCTTCTCTCTACCTCTTCAAATTCATCTCCTGGGTTGCTTTATAATGACTTTCTTCTAGTCCCATAAACAAAGCACTTTCTCAACTGGGGGTCTTTTAATATACTGTTCCTTTTGCTTAGAAAAATTTTCCTAAATATACCTTGTTTCCTACCAAGCTTTGTACTCAGTTTAAATATCACTTCATTTGATTATTATTCCACACTAATATATTCCAATATATGTGCCTCCAAGAACACCCTTTTTATTATATCACACATAATTAGTTGCTAAATTTCTGTATTTTTCTTTAGAGTCTAGATTGAAAGTTTCCCTAATCCCATTCCTTAAATATTCCCCAGATCTTATTTGCCTTAGCAGTTAGCAGTTATCATATCTGTGGGTCATTGGAATACATTGTCATCAGTGACAGAAGTATGGCTCTATTTTGGATGAATAATTTTGCTCTGTTTATTAAAATATAACCCACCTTGCCTGGCTGGTGTGGCTCAGTGGTTGAGCATCAACCCATGCACCAAGAGGTTGCTGGTTTGATTCCCAGTCAGGGCACATGCCCAGGTTGTGGGCCCAATCCTCCGGGAGTGGTATGCAGGAGGTGGCCAGGCCAACTGATGTTCTCTCTCAGTGATGTTTCCATCTCTCCCTCTTCCTTCCTCTATCTCTAAAATCAATAAAGAAAACAAAAATTTTTAAAGTAAATAAAATATAACCCATCTTCAGAATCCTACTTCTTTACATGTAAATATGTAAAATTTTCTGCAGTAGTAAAAATGTATCACTCTTACAAGTCACCTCTTCTTCTAGCTATTGCCCTACCTTTTGACATGTTCTCTCAGTTCTAAGTTAACTTTCTTCACATTACCAACTGTTCATGTATAAGTTGTATCTTCTGTATGTGTTCTCATTTATTAGTTTTCTAAATTCTTAGTCATTCATTTCCTAATCTTTCCTGATCTTGAACCAGTTTCTGAAATGATGTTCTTAATAGGTTTGTTTTTGACTTTGTATGATATATTTTTTTTTCTGTATCACTGTCAAATAAGTCTTTGCTTATCGGTTTTTCCCCCCTCAGATTCTTTCCCCCACAATCATTGTTCACATTGATTTTTTTTTCTTCTTTTTAAGTTGATTCATGAACATGGGCAGTAATTTCTGTCATCATGAGCACCTTTCATTTGTTAGAGCAGTTCCTGAGGATATTTTGACAAACATAAGGGAAGGGGGAGAAGGGGGGAAATAGAAGAAAGGAGTTAGAGAAGAGAGATGAAGGTGGAAAATAGGGTGCAGGAAAATGATGTTCATCGATGAGGATTCTTGCAGTTACACAGATACTTTCTTAAATTAAAAATCAGTGGCAACCATGTTGACAATTCTGTATTTTTGCTTTAGTGTTTTGTAAATTAGCCCTTTATTATTTTCTATTTTCACTCCCTGAAAGATCTTTATTGTTGAATTTTTACATTGTATGTGGTAGTTCTTCTAGTATCTCCTGTTGTCATTACTTCCAAAGTATTGTTGATACTATTATGTACAGTATTGATAAAGTAGATTCTTTACTTTCTCATCAACATTTTTGTGCCTTATTCAGTATCAAGGCTAATAATTTCTCTTATTCCTTTTGTAAGTGTTAATCATTTTCTTTATCCCAAATTTCAAAGAACTGCCAAATTCTATAACTATCAAAATAGAATCAGAGTGATACTGCTGTAAGGGATCTTGATATAATTTGGCTCATTTTTTCTATTTCTGTACTCCCCAGTCAAGTTTAAATGGGAGAATGGCTGAATCCCTTAGAACAGTGCTTTCAAACTTGGATGTGCTTTTGAATTCCCTGTGGATCTTGTTAAAATACTGATTAAAACTGATTTAGTAGGTCGGGGGTAGACCCAAAATTCTATATGTCTAAACAGTCTTCCCAGGTGATTCTGGTATGGCTGGTTTGTGAACTGTACTTTAAGTATCAAAAACCTAGATAGTATCTAAAATAGCTCATGCTGGGTAGTACTTTTGCCAATCTCATTGCCTGGTGAAAACACTGGCTTCAATCTGAATTAATTAATTAATTAATTAATTCATTCATTCATTCATTCATTCATTCATTCATTCATTCCTCACCCGAGGACATTTTTTGTTCAGGTAGAGTGAGAGGGAGAGAGAGGAACAGAGAGAGAGAGAGAAACATCGATGTGAAAGGAACACATCGAGTAGCTGCCACCCGCACAACCGACCAGGGCCGGGGACAAACTGCAACCGAGGTACGCGCCCTTAGCGGGAACCGAACCCGGGTCTCTCAGGACTGCAGGCCGACACTCTAACCGCTGAGCCAAACTGGCCAGGGCTGAATTTATTATTTCACGATCTATTTATTGAGAGACTATGTGCCAAACACACCGTTATATGCTGTAGATACTAAGGATGACTAAGATGCAGTTTCATTCTAGCCTAATAGAGCTAATTTCTGATTCTGTAATATTCCGGTCCCCCTCCTCCCCCCCATTTTGTAGTTTGATTTCCTTCTGTCTTTACTGATTACTTTCCCTTATTTCACCTGTAAATTTTTGTGACTGTCTCCATATTCCCCAAGTTGAATAGTTTGTTCTTTGTACTCCTTTTACATTTAGACTGAGAAAAGGACTCCTTTGCATTAGGTAGCATCTCTGTTTGAGTTATATCCCCAAATTTACCTTTTTTAGTAGAAGCTCTGGTCTTCAGTTTTCAGATTTCAACTCCTATTATATTCTCTTTTTAGTCCATGTAATTTAATAACTAATTATGTGATTATATGTAGTGCCTGCTCTGTTGGTCTTACATGCCTTTGTGCAGTTTACTTAACTCTATGTATTTTTTTTTTTTTTTTTACTTGATAGGATAATTCTTTCTTTGGCTCCATAGTAATAATCTTTGTTTCAGATGCTTAATAAATGCTGATGTTTTCATTTATTTCATGCAAGAAAAAATTTCATTTTGTCTACTAACATTTAATGTTTTAAGCCTATTTCTGAATAAATGAAATTCTCCATTATTAAACCTATTGGTGGTTTGCCCATCTCAGTTGCAATATTTATATTAAATTAGCCTGTATTTCCCCGATTTCCCCTTTTTCCTGGTTGTTAGTCACAAAAATAAAACTAGAATTTATCTGTCCCTTCTGTTAGATTCTTTTAAAAATTTTTTTTACCTATTTGCCTTTGTAGTGAAATAAAATTACTATGATGCCAAATCTTTTCAATTATCTATTTAGCTTGCTATATTCAGTGTTTTTTTAAAATTCTGTTTCCTCTTTTTAAATTCTGTTCACAATCTTTCTTTTGTATATGAAATATCTCTTTATTGAAAATTCATTTTAAATCTCCTCTTCCAAAAAATTAGATTGACAAAATCATGAATTTTTATTTCAAAACAGAAACGCAGTAGTTACCTTTTTTCACTTGGGGCATTAGTAAGTAGTTGGAAAGAACCATATCTTTTCTTTTTCCTTTTCAGAATATACTTATATTTTTGGCTCAGGAGTATATGTTAGTTATCAAGCAATGTGAAAAGTTTGTATTTAACTGACAGAAAGTTAGAGATCTTAGTGAGAACATGTAACTTTTAAAAAGTAGAAATGAAAAGAAGCCCGCGGGGTAAATTTAAGAAGTTTCTATAATTGAGAGGTGTTTTTTAAAATCTGTTGTGGTTTTCTGTAAACACTTTGGTTCAGTAGATAATGAATTGTTTTTATGGTTTTCTTTAATTTAGGAAGTAAGAAAAGTAGCACCAATGTTACTCATACAGCAAAGCAGAGAAAAAATAGGGAATATGAAAAGAAGGATTTTTCAAATGAATCCAAGAAAAACAATCTTGTACCTGAAGAAGTGTCTTTGACTGTCACGAGAAGTCAAAGAATTTCCAGACGTCCGTCTAATTGGTGGATGGTAAAATCAGAGCAGAGTAAGTATTTTGATTTAAATTATTAGGAACTCCCCAAAAATCATTCTGTAAGAAGCTTTATGTTGATTTATATATACTTTCATTCTTCAGAGAAAATCTATTGACAGAATTAAATTGGGTCATCAATAGAAATATTAAATCATTGAATTATAAAGATATTCATTGAAACTCTATCATATACAGTATTCTAGATATAGGGATATGGCTATGGAAAAACAAAAAAAAACCCCAAATATTCTAGCTTTCTGTGAACTTACAGTCTAGTGGGAGAAGACCAACAATATAGATAAGTAATTCATGAAGTGACAGGGTAATAAAGAAAAATAAAGCAGATAAAGGGTAGAGATGGGAAATAGATGGCAAGGGTAGGGGCACATAAGAGGATAGAGCAGAATACTGTTTTATGAAAGGTAGTGACGAGAGTCCATTATGATCTCTTAGAGCACATAAAAGAAAAAAGTAAAGGAGGGCTCCACAAATAACTTTTTGTGAAGTGTTTCAGACCAAGGAAGGGAACAGGATCTGTATAGTTGCCAGTCAGGCATGCTCGGCATGTTTGAGGAACATTAAGAAGGCCAGCATGGTTGAAGAAGAGTAAGCCAAGGGAGATGAAGTCAGAGAGGCAGGCTATGATCAATTTAGATGAGATGTATTAGGAGGCTACTGGAGGATTTTAAGCAATAAAGTAACTTGATTGAGTCATCATTTATAATGATTATAGTAGAACCTCAGTTCTTGAACTTAATTTTTTCCAGAAGGCTGTTCAAGAAGTGATTCGTTAGTAAACCAAATCATTTTTTCCCCTTAGAAATAATGTGAATAGAATTAATCCATTCCCAACCCACAAATGATTCCCCATTTTAACTTTTCTTACATGTAGTACATGTCTAATGTACTGTTTAATCTATAAATAAGCACTTCTTTTCTTAAATTTATCAAACCACTCCTTACTGGCCTTCACTTACAGCACTCATTCCAAGGGTGTCTTTCAGGAAGTCAGTATGCAGCTCCTTTGCTTTTTCACATATTACTTCCACCGAAACGCTGTCACTGGCTAACTGCTTTTCCTTTATCCAAACCAACAACACTTTTTCTGCCTCAATTGCCTATATTGTCTTGTGAGCACTTCACACCCTTAGTAACACTAGCATTCTTTTAAAAAAAAATTTTTTTTTTGTTACAGATGTTTCTCCTTTTTTACCCCATTGACACCCTCCTCCCCAACCCCCCCCCCCCGCCCCCAGGTTTGTTGTTCATGTCCATTGGTTATGCATACATGCATATAAGTTCTGTGATCTCTTTCCACCCCCCCACCCCCTTTTCTGAGGGATGTCAGTCTGTGCCCTACTTCCATGTTTCTTGGTCTATCGTATTCCTCAGACTGTTATGTTCATTATATTCCGTATATCAGTGAGATCATGTGGTATTTGTCTTTTTCTGCTTGGTTTATTTCATTTAGGATAATACTTTCCAGGTCCCTCCATGTCGTCTCAAAGGATAAGAGCGCTTTCTTTCTTACAGCTGCATAGTACTCCATTGTGTATATGTACCACAGCTTTTTTATCCATTCGTCTACTGATGGACACTTGGGCTGTTTCCAGATCTTAGCTATTGTAATAGTGCTGCTGTGAACATGGGGGTACATATATTCTTCCTGATTGGTGTTCTTAGGGTATATTCCTAGAAGTGGGATCACTGGGTCAAATGGAAGATCAATTTTTAATTTTTTGAGGTAACACCATATTGTTTTCCATAGTGGCTGCACCAGTCTGCATTTCCGCCAGCAGTGTACTAGAGTCCCCTTTTCTCCACACCCTCGCCAACACTTGTTGTTTGATGATTTGTTGATGCGGCCATTCTGACAGGTGTGAGGTGATACCTCATTGTTGTTTTAATTTGCATCTCTCTGATGATTAGTGATGTTGAGCATTTCTTCATATGTCTCTTGGCCATTTGTATGTCCTGTTTGGAGAGGTGTCTATTCAGCTCCTCTTCCCATTTTTTTTTAATTTATTTTTATTTTTTTTATCCTCACCCGAGGACATTTTTCCATTTTTTGTTCAGATAGAGCGGGAGGGAGAGAGAGGAAGAGACAGAGAGAGAAACATCGATGTGAAGGGACGCATCGAGGGGCTGCCACCCGCACAACCAACCAGGGCTGGGGACAAACTGCAACCGAGGTACATGCCCTTAGCGGGAACCGAACCCGGGTCTCTCTGTACCGCAGGCCGATGCTCCAACCGCTGAGCCAAACCGGCCAGGGCCCTCTTCCCATTTTTTAATTGGGTTCTTTGTCTTCCTTTTGTTGAGTTGTATGAGCACTCTATATATATTGGAAATTAACCCCTTTTCTGATAAATCATTGGCAATGATGTTCTCCCATACAGGGGGTTGTCTTTCCATTTTGATGATTGTTTTTTTTTTTGCTGTGCAGAAGCTTTTTAGTTTGATGTAGTCCCATGTGTTCATTTTTTCTTTTGTTTCTGTTGTCTTAGGTGATGTATCAGTGAAAATTCTGCTGTGTATGATGTCTGAAATTTTGTTGCCTACATTTTCTTCTAGAATTTTTATGGATTCACGGGTCACATTTAAGTCTTTTATCCATTTTGAGTTTATTTTTGTGGACACTAGCATTCTTGATGGCCTCTTAATGTTTTAAAATTGTGCTAATCATTGATTTAGCCAGCAACAAAAGCATTCTCTCCTTTGTTGCCTGAGAGACACTTTTTGTCTTGCTGAGGCATCAACAGGAAGGGTTTGTCAGGTCAAAAACCGAAGTTTTGTTCCACAACTGAGACATTTTTTTCCACGGACCACTTGGTCAAGAACCAAGTTTTTTGAGATGGGAGACATTTAAGAACCGAAGTTTAACTGTATTTTTATTGGTATGTAGAGAGCAAACTGGCCAGGGTAAAAATGGAAACGAACCTAGTTAGATTGTTGGAGGGAAGAAATGAAGGGTGATTGGATCCATATTTTACAAAGTAACTCACAGGAACGACTGAAGGATTAGAGTTAGGAGGGAGGAGCCCTGGCCGGTTTTGCTCAGCGGTTAGAGCATTGGCCTGCGGTCCGGAGAGACCCGGGTTCGGTTCCCGCTAAGGGCACGTACTTCGGTTGCAGTTTGTCCCTGGCCCTGGTTGGTCGTGCAGTGGCGGCCACTCGATGTGTCCCTTTCACATCGATGTTTCTCTCTCTCTATCTCTTCCTCTCTCTCCCTCCCACTCTATCTGTACAAAAAATGGAAAAATGTCCTCGGGTGAGGATAAAAAAAAAAAAAAAAAAGAGTTAAGAGGGAGGAGTCTAGAATGACTTTTTTTTTTTCTGGAACAAGTAGAAGAATGGAGCTCTGTTATTTACTGAAATGAGGAAAGGTGTGAGAGAAGCAGCTTTGGGAAGAATATCAAGATTTCAGGTTGTAATATATCAATTAGATGTCAAAACAGATATGTTGAGGAGATAGCCTGATAAATGAGCCTAAAGGTAGGGGGAAAGATATAGGAGGACATATAATTAGGAAGTTATCAATATATGAATGATATTTAAAACTGAGACTGCTTGAAATCACCTAGTAATATACCTAGTGAAGAAGTAAAGCTTAAGATTGATTCCTGGGGTACTTAAGTGTTAGGAGTCAGGAAGGGATAGGAAGATCTTTTAAATGAGACTGAAAAGAAGCAATTAGTGAGATTAGAGGAAAATGAGGAGAATTTAGGGTAATGGAAGTCATTTTAAGGATTGAGTGATGAACTGTTTTACATACTGCTGATAGTCTGCGTTAGATGAGAGTTAAAAATGAACAGTCTGGTTTTGGCAACATGGATGTGGTTGGTCACCTATATAAAAATGGTTATTGTGGAATGATGAGATCAAAAGCCTAATTGCAGTGGAGTCCAAGAGAGAGTAGGAGGTGAGGAAGGAGAGACAATAAGATGAGGAGTCATAACAAATGTGGAGTCAAGGGAAGGTTCTTTTTCTTTTTAATATTTAAACTATATCAGTTTATTCATTTAAAATGACCTTGTAGGAAGGTAGAGGATAAATACAGGATCACAGTCCTTGAGTAGGCAAGGTGCAGATGTGATCTAGTGCACAGTTCAGGGGTTATTTCTAGACAGGAGCAAGGATAGTATATCATCTAAAAGAGGAAAGGCAGAGTATATGGGGCCAAATGGAAGTAGGCTGGTAGAGTTGATGGTGGAAGATACTCTTCTGATCATATTTGTTTTCTCAGTGAAATGGTAAGCAAGGTCATCAGGTAAAAGTGAAATGGGAAAGGCGATGATGGAATTTTGAAGTTTCCTTACAGGGAAAGGATACAAAGCAAAACCAGCAAAGAAAAAGTGCATAGGCAAAGTCTGAAGGAAATTCAGTTCAATCTTTCAAGAGTCTTTTCCCAGTGGATAGGTACAGGAGGCATTTAATTCCTCCAGTAATGAGTTGTGACAGATGTGTGAAATGTTGTTCATTAGAGATTGGAAAGAAAATTAGAGATTGAGTGCGTAGGATTTTCTTGGGGGTGGTCACCTAGGCACCATCTGCCTAGCAAGTACTAAAATCTCAGGCTCCCTGAAGGAAAGCAAGTATTTCACTTAAATTGTATGTTTTGCACAAATAATTTAGGCATGCTAACCCATACTTATCTGTTAGGAAGTGATGGGAACCCTTCTGACATTCAAGTTCTGACATGTTAGCCAAGGGCTTACTTTGCAAGCAGGGCTTTCTAAGGTTAAGATTCTTAGGCCTGCAGTGCCAGTTCTTTTCTGTACCATATGAAACACTTTTTGTTTTGGAAAAATATTTTATTTTAAAGGAGATAGTCATGTAAAGATTGATAGATGATAAGGTAACATTTACATATGCAGATACTGTTGACAGTGGCACATTTAGATCAACAAGTGAGAGACTAGTACAAATGTGCTGCATCTGTGAGGCCTTATTGCTGTGAATTTTTGAATCACTGGATCCTTGATTGACAGCAGCAAGAAATATTTATTCTGCTGCAGCTTTCTTTGGATTTTGGAGTTATGTGAGTTCAAATTATGATTTCTCTACTTTGGGTAGATTACTTTGTTCAGTTTCTCACTCTGTAACCTATGATTGACAGTACTTCTATCTCATTAAGTCATTATAAGGATTAAATGGCTTATAGTTAGAATTAAAATGTTAAATACTGCTGTTACTGCTTTGGAGAACTCATCTTTCTGTCCCAGGTTGCCTGAAACTATACTAACTATAGTAACTGAGTGTGTAAATATGTGGGCAGATAAAAGTCTTATAGAGTCCTGGCCAGTTTGGCTCAGTGGTTGGAGCTTTTGCCCGTGGACCAGAGAGTTCTGGGTTGGATTCCTTCTGAGGGCATGTACCTCAGTTTCGGATTCTCCCCCGCCCCGGTTGGGGTCGTGTGGGTGGCAGCCACTTGATGTGTCTCTCTCGCATCGATGATTCTCTCTCTCTCTTCACCCCTCCCTCCCTCCTGCTCTAACTGAAGATAAATGCAAAAAAAAAAAAAGTCTTATAGAGCTTGGATAAGTGCTCTAGAACTCTGAAACTTACCAAAAAAGACTTATGTAGCTGTCCTGAAACAGATGTTGGGTTTCTGATCAAGCAGGGAGTCACAAGAATGGAGGAACAGATCATATAGTTCAAACTTCTTCATCTGTTGGAAGAAGAAACAGTCTGAAGTCCAGGAAAAGCAACATGACTTACCCCTGAGGTCATAGACCTTGGTGGTAGAACTGGAAAACAATACAACCCAGATTTCTTGACTCTCAGTCTCTTGCTTATTTCACTAATCAAGCAGCCCAGCTTCTTATAGAGTACATGTGGCCTTGTTGTTTTTTCATATCTATCAAGAAACATTGAGTGCTCACTGTGAGGCTGGAATGGCGTTGTGCCAGGTCTAGAGTGAAGCAAGTGAGGAACTTAAAATGGGAAATTTAAGGAGGCACTTTGTTTCAGGGTTGTTTGAGTTCAGGATAGGTATTTGCATGACTGAGAATGAGCACCTTGTTAAATTTTCCACCCTAGTTAACAATTTTCTTTTCCTTATAATGAGTACTTTTAAGATCTACTCTTTGGTAATCATTTCACAATATACACATATATCAAATTGTTATGTTGTGCATCTTAAACTTGTACAGTGTTATATATCACTTATATCTCAATAAATCTGGAGGAAAAATGATTTTTTTTTTTTTAATCCTAGGCTGCTCCTATTTTACCACAGTCCTGCCCCTGGGTTAGGCATGGGGAATGTAAAGATAGGTAAAAGACCAGTCTTAGTCTCAGGAATTGTCAGTCTGCTGGAGAGATAAGAAACAGTTAGATGTATGATAAACATTATCAGAGGATTGAGAGAGTTATTAAATTTAGGCTTGGGAATTAGGGAAAGCTTCCTGAAGGATGAATTAGGAGTCAGCTAAGTGAGGTGAGGAGGAAGGATGGAATGTTTCAAGCAGAAGTAGCATTTCAGAAATTGGAAGCTAAGAGTTCAACCTTTTTTTAATTTTCAAATATTTTTTCTTTTTAGAGAAAAAATTTTAGAGAGAGAGGAAGGGAGAGGGAGAGATAGAAACATCTATGAGAGAGAACATCGAGTGGCTGCCTCCTGCATGTCCCCCACTGGGGATCAGGCCCACAGCCTGGGCATGTGCCCTTGACCCAGAATCAAACCGGTGACCTGGTGCATGGATTGATGCTCAACCTCTGAGTCACACGGCCGAGCAAGAGGTTGACCTTTAAAAAATTATTTTATCAGAATTATTTGGAGTGCTTGCTAAAACACAAACTAGGTCCTACTCTAAGAATTCTGATTTAGTTGAATTCTGATTTAGTAATTCTGAGAGGAGGCCTGAGAATTTGCATTTCAAATAAATTTCTAGGCAGTGCTGATCCTGCTGGTTTAGGGACCACCCTTAAGAACCAGTGCTTTAGAGAAATGCAAATAGTTCAGTATTGTTGGCTTTTGTTTGTTTGGAGAGATGTGTTGAGTTTTGTGGTTAATAAAATAAGCACTTTAGATATAGAAATAAGTTAGTATTGAAAATATATGGACTTAATTCTTAAGCTATAGATAATCACTAAAAGATTTTAAGCAGGGTTGTACTGTTCCAACTTGTGTTTTCCAGGGATGTCTTGAAGCATTTTGAAAAATGGATTGAAGAAAAGTAAGACTATAGAAAAGGAGATTAGTTAAGAGGCTGTTTTAATAATCCAGATAAGAAATGATGAGGATCCCTGCTATTGACAAGCAAGAGAGGTTGAAAGAAGCAGATCTGAGAGGCATTAAGAAAGAGCAGAGAAGGTTTAGGGATTGATTGTGGATAGGGGCCAGAGTCATGGATGACTTGGATTTCTGATTTAGGTATCTGCTTCGGGGTAGAAAGTTGTACTTTTCATTAAGATAGGAATGAAAACCAGGGGGGCAGATTTAGGGGAAAAGGGTAGGTGAAGATATCAGCATGTAGATAGTAATTGAAGTTATGGGTACAGAGAACCCTCAAAGAAAGTACATAGAGTGAGAAGATGAAGCTTGAACCTTGGAGAATACCAGGATATTAAGTGTGGCTGGAAGAGTAGTGGGCAGAGCCAGAGAGGGTGGTTTTGGAAGCTTGTGATAAATTTAAAGTTTTTTTTTTTTTTTTTAATTCTCACCCGAGGACACTTTTTCATTCTTTGTTCAGATAGAGCAGGAGGGAGAGAGAGAGAGAGAAACATCGATGTGAAAGGGACACATCGAGTGGCTGCCACCCACACGACCAACCAGGGCCGGGGACAAACTGCAACCGAGGTACGTGCCCTTAGTGGGAACCGAACCCGGGTCTCTCAGGACCACAGGCCGACGCTCTAACCGCTGAGCCAAACTGGCCAGGGCAAATTTAAAGTTTTTTGCATGGATCAAAAAATGGAAGAACAGCATAGTTTATGAAATTTGAAAACAAATGTAGCCTATGGGATTGGTGTGTGTGTGTGTGTGTGTGTGTGTGTGTGTGTTTATATGTAAATATAATTAATGGTAATATTTCAGTGAGCCAGAACATCTGAATAAATGTTAACTTTAAATTATCATGGATTCTTTTAGGTCTTTTTTATAGCAGTTCTTCAATAAGAAATGAATTGTCAGTGCCTCACAGCAGTGGGCGAAAACCTGCTGAAAAAACAAATCAATCATCTAAGAATACTGGAAAAAAAAGTATTCCATTTAAAGGGCAGAAGAGAGCTAATCCAGGCCGCTCCAGAGCACAGAAGATTTTAAATGTAAAAGATTCTAGAGGAATTACTGACCATGATGAAATTTCTGGTTCTTCCCCGAATGAGTCTTTGGAATGTGAGGAGGCAGACATGGCTAAGAAGAATAATCTTGATCATTCTGGGTAATGTTTGTTATGTTTACAATATAGTTATCTTTGTTGTTCAGCATTTAATAGTTTGTCTATGTTGTTTGATCATTTATAGAGAAGCAGTTTTAGCTTAAAGGGCTCTGCAGCCTGACAGACCTGGTAGCCAGTCTCTGCCATTAGCTGGGTGACACCCCAGGCAAATTAGTACTCTGAATTTGTTTGCTTATATTAAAATGGAGATTAATGTATGGCATATGGGAGATGAATGATACATTTAATAAGGTAAGTGGTATCGTCTGAGAGTTGCTTCCTTTTTTTTTTTTTCAATTGTGGTAAAAACACATAAAATTTATCATCTTAATCATTTTTAAGTATACAGTTTAATTTGCTTCCTTTTATTTATTTATTTATTTATTTATTTATTTATTTATTTATTTATTTTTATTTTTAATTTTTTTTCATCATCCTCACCCGAGGACATTTTTCCATTTTTTGTTCAGGTAGAGTGGGAGGGAGAGAGAGGAACAGAGAGAGAGAGAAACATCGACGTGAAAGGGACACATCGAGTTGTTGCCACCTGCACAGCCAACCAGGGCCAGGGACAAACTGCAACTGAGGTACGTGCCCTTAGCGGGAACTGAACTCGGGTCTCTCTGGACCGCAGGCCGATGCTCTAACTGCTGAGCCAAACCGGCCAGGGCTAATTTGCTTCCTTTTAAATGGAGTGAATGTGATGTTCATAATTAGGAATACATCATACTTCTCTTAGGATGATAAAAGTCAATGTATTTTGAGTGCTTATCATGTACCAAGTACCTGCTAGGTGCTTTCAATGAATTCTTATCAGTCCTAACAACTTAGAGAGTTAAGTATTGTTCTTTTTTTTAATTTTCAAGGTACTTTATTTTTAAGGCTTCACCCTAGGATATTCTTCCATTTATCTTCAGATAGAGTGGGGGTGGAGGGGAGAGAAAGAAACATCGATGTGAGAGAGACACATCGATTGGTTGCCTCCTGCATGACCCCAACCCGGGCCGGACCGAACTGCAACTGAGGTACATGCCCTTGATCAGAATCGAACCTGTGACTCTCTGGTCCACAGGCCAATGCTCTAACTGCTGAGCCAAACTGGACAGGGCCAAGGTACTATTTTTTTTTGGATTCTTTTTTCTTTTTTCTTTTCTGGTTGGGTGTTTTTGCTTCCTTATATTCCAAATCAATGCGTTGCTTCTTGGCTTTACCTACTCTACTATAGAATCTTTGTAAATTTTTCTTTATTTCAGTTAGTGCCTCATTCATTTTTGACTGGTCCTTTTTTATGCTCTTAAGGTCCTCGCTAAGCTCATTGAAGATCTCACTTAGGTCATTGAGCATCCTTATAAGCACTGTTTTGTTTTGTTTTTTTATCCTCACCTGAGGACAATTTTGCATTTATCTTCAGATACAGAGGGAGGGAGAGAGGGAGGAGGAGAGAGAGAAACATCGATATGAGAGAGACACATCAACTGGTTGCCACTGCACAACCTCAACCGGGGCTGGGGACGAACTGCAACCAAGATGCATGCCCTTAGCGGGAACCAAACCTGGGACTCTGGTCCACGGGCCGATGCTCTAACTGCTGAGCCAAACCAGCCAGGGCCAAGGTACTGTTTTTTAAAACAGGTCATAACTCTAAGCTTCTGGCCTTTGTTCTTACTTTTACTTTGTTCTGGCTATTCTTATGTTTTTGCTTATGATATAGCATTCTTTTATTGAACAAATACAGTAAAACCTCGATATAACGGGTTAATTTGGGTGAGGGTATGTTCGTTAAAGTTGAAAGTCTGATATATGATAAAGTAGCTTTTCCATATGTGTATGTTAAAAAATCAGCAAATTAGTTTACCTGTTTTTACTTAGGTAGACACGTTTGTATATTTAAAATTAAGTATATATGAGAAGATAAATTTCACAGAAGCGTTTTCTATATGTATTACTGTAATTTTAAATTTATACTGAATAGGTCTAGTAAATGCATGCATTCACCAGTCACCGCGAGTAAACAAATGCACACGGCTGGGGTGTGGCTTAGTGCACTTCGGAACTTTAGCACTTCTTAAAACTGCTGCAGAAAGTCATGCCACTGGACAACAGAATCAGTTACCACATGCAATGTGGTGTGATCATGTGCTAATCATTCCCTGAACGTTGTTTAGGAGTGATGACTCTTGGATTTAAATATATAGACTATAGATGTAGATATGTAATATTTATTTATGTCAGCAAAATTACTACAGTGTTTTTTCCAACATATGGCCTATTTGCTAAAATTTGTTGAAAATAACAGTGAATTAAGAACAAAAAATAACCTGACATACAAACTGGAAATTTTGTTCATTAAATCCTTAGTTAAATCGAGGTCTGCAAAATCGAGGGTTTGCTGTAATACATATTATGAAGGAGAAACTGCAAGATGATGGGGATGTACTGAAATATATGATAGAGTGCCCTAAAATATATTAGTGTATGTCATTATGGTACATAATCAAGTCCCATACATATGCTATTTATCTTTTTCACACCATTCTCATATCTTCTTTGTCATTCAGTTTCTTTTTTTTTTTTTTTTTTTAATCCTTACCCGAGGACATTTTTCCATTTTTTGTACAGATAGAGTGGGAGGGAGAGAGAGCAAGAGAGAGAGAGAGAGAAACATCGATGTGAAAGGGACACATCGAGTGGCTGCTACCCGCACGACCAACCAGGGCCGGGGACAAACTGCAACCGAAGTACGTGCCCCTAGCGGGAACCGAACCCGGGTCTCTCCGGACCGCAGGCCGACGCTCTAACCGCTGAGCCAAACCGGCCAGGGCTCAGTTTCTTTAAATGAAGTATTTCGGGTAGCCTTACCAGTGGTTGAGCATAGACCCATGCACCAAGAGACTGCCAGTTCGATTCTCGGTCAGAGCATGGGCCCAGGTTGTGGACCTGATCCCCAGTATGGGGCATGCAGAGTAGGCCAGTCGATGTTCTCTCTCATCGATGTTTCTGTCTCTCTTTCCCTCTCCCTTCCTCTCTCTCTAAAATCAATATAGAAAAAAAAATGTTTTGGATATACAAAAACAAGTAACACCCTATTTCCCATAATCTCATTTAAGAAATAAAACATCATTATGACCATTGAAATCTCACATGTACTTTTGCCAAGCCCATTATTTTTTCTCCCTTGTTAGAGGTAGCCACTACACAGAATTTGGTAGGTATCATTATTATGGATGTTTTTATACTTTTCCTACATGTGCATGTTTATATAATAGATGCTGTATTGTTTTAAAACTTTGTAAAAATGGTTTCAGATTATATATATCCTGCTCTGTCTTGTTTTTTCCATTGTTTATTATATACTTTTGAGATTATTCATATTGATAAATGATTTATTTTTATTCCATTATAGTGGAGGTTGGCAAACTTTCCTTAAAGGGCCAGATAATAGTATATATTTTAGGCTTTGCAGTCCAAGAGACAAAATCAGGTCTATTATGTAGATACTGAAATAACCATTTAAAATGTAACTTTTTAAAAATGTAAAAATTATTCTTAGCTCTTGGGACTTAAAAAAACAAGTGGCTGGCTGAATTTATAGTTTCATTTTATATGAGTATATGATGAAAATATATTAATCTAGTCTCTTGATAAGGTTTTCTTATTTTTCACTATTAAAAACAAGTTTTCAGTGGCCATTTTATATATGTTTCCTTGTGTACATGTACAAGAGATTTCTTATAGTATTATATCTCCTAGAAGTAGAATTGCTAGATTTTAGGATATGTATATGTATAACTTGCCTAAATGCTCTCCAAGTAGGTTGAGCCATTTTACAGTCCCACAGCAATGTGAAGAATTCTCATTGCTCCATGTTCTAATATGTGTTGGTGTTAGAATTGTGATTACACTTGACCCTTGAACGACATCAGAGAGGGATGCCAACCCCCAGTGCAGTTGAAAATTAGTGTTTTGACTTTACGCCTCAAAAACTTAATTGTTTACTGTTGACTGGGAGCTTTACTGAAAGCATAAATACCAGTAATCATTTATCACATTTTATATGTTATATATAGTATTTACTGTATTCTTACAATAAAGTAAGCTAGGGGAAATAAAATGTTATTAAGAAAATCATAAGGAAGAAAAAATCATTTAGAGTACTAAATGTATTTATTGAAAAAAAATTTTGTGTGTGAGTAAACCAGTGCAGTTCAAATCCTTGTTGTTTAAGGGTCAACTCTATTTGTCAATCTAATGGGGTGTATTTCTGGATTTAACTTGTTTCCCTAATTATTATTGAGATTAAACAGTTAAACATTTTTTCATTTGTTTCTTGCCCATTTTTAAATAGATGGCCTCTTTGTAAATTGCTTGTTAATACCTTTTGCTCATTTTTCCTTTTTTTTTTTAGCATTGATTTTTAGGAACATTATATACTTAGACTTCTAGTCCTTAATGGGTCACATGTATTATAAACATCATCTTTGAGTCAGTGTCCTGCCTTTTTACTTTTGAAGGATGTCTGTAGTGTCTTTCAGACAGCTGATACAATTTTAATGTTGAATTTATCATCCTTTTAATGTTTTAAACAGTTGTTTTATTGACTCTAAGGTCATAAAGATCTATTTTCTATACTTCTAAAACCTCTAGTTTATGCCCTGGCCAGTGTGGCTCAGTTGGTTGAGCATTGTCCCTCACACTGAAGGTCGCTGGTTCGATTCCTGGTCAGGGCACATACCCAGATTTCGGGTTCGATCCCTGGTTGGAGTGCATACAGAAGGCAACAGATGGATGTTTCTTTCTCACACTGATGTTTCTCTCTTTCCCCCTCCCTCTGTCTCCCTTCCTCTCTCTCAGATCAATAAAAACTAACTTTAACTTGCCTTTTTACATTTATTTATTTAAACCATCTGTATTTTATTTTTGTATTTGATGTGGAATAAGAAATCTAAGTTTTTTTTTTCTCCATGTAGATCAGTTGTCTAATAAGTTATTAAGTAGTGCTTTTTCCCACACTGATTTTTAATGCCCTCTGTTTTATATCAGATTTTCATATTTATATCAGCTTATTTCTTAGTTAATTTCCATAAGACTCTTGATAGGTGGATAGGACGGGTATTAGCCTAATTTTTTTATTATTTTATTATTATTATTATTTTTATCCTCACCCGAGGACATTTTTCCTTTTTTTTTTTCAGATAGAGTGGGAGGGAGAGAGAGGAAGAGAGGGGGAGAGAGGAAGAGAGGGAGAGAGAGAAACATTGACATGAAAGGGACACATCGAGTGGCTGCCTCCCGCACAACCCCAACTGGGGCCGGGGACAAACTGCAACCAAGGTACGCGCCCTTAGCGGGAATTGAACCCAGGTCTCTCTGGACCGTGGGCTGATGCTCTAACTGCTGAACCAAACAGGCCAGGGCTATTAGCCTAATTTTTACACATGAGGAAGGTCCATAAAGATTAGTATTTCATTGGATATCTAAGTCTTCAGACTAGTAGTCTCATTGTTTTTATTTACTTGAATGTATTAGTAATAAAATAAATTGATGTTTTATTAAATAAAGCAGATAAGCCTTCCTTACTTATGTGTTGAGAGAAATGTTGAGCTAAAAATTTGACTTAGGTTGAATTTCTAAATTTGAGCTCATATCCCTAAAACAAATCTTTTATACAGTGAGATTAAAATATTTAAAGTTGATAGTTGCTACAATGTCTGCTTAAGAAAGCCTAATAGGTACCTGGATTCATAGAAATATCTTTGAGACTTTTGTTTAGTCAGGCTGTACAGTCATTAAGCTATTTAATATGAATGGAAGAGCAAATATATGTAATTGATTTGGTATTTTACCTTTCATAAGGTTAAAAGATAAATCTTTATGGTTACAAAGTGGTTCTCATGGAAAACATGAAGATAATTTAGATATAAAAGGCCTATTTACAGTTTTACTGTCCTATACTTAGGAAAGGCAGAAAACAAAACAAAAAGTTGTTAGAGAAAACTTGCTTATTACATTAAAATAGGAATATGTCATAGGTGCCTAAAGGCAAGCAAATTATTATAGTTTTTTTCATAGTGATGATATTTAAAACAGGCATCAGTAACAATGAGCTCTTTTAGAAGTGAGGAGCTTGTGTTAAAAATGGTTTAAAGCACCCTGGCCGGTTTGGCTCAGCGGTTAGAGTGTGGGCCTGCGGTCCAGAGAGACCTGGGTTCGGTTCCTGCTAAGGCCACGTACCTCAGTTGCAGTTTGTCCCCGGCCCTGGTTGGGTTGTGCGGGTGTCAGACACTCGATGTGTCCCTTTCACGTCAATGTTTCTCTCTCTCTCTCTCTCCCTCCCACTCTATCTGAACAAAAAAAGGAAAAGTGTCCTTGGGTGAGGATTAAAAAAAATGGTTTAAAGCATGACAGAGGTGCCTAAAAGATATATTAAGAGATCTATCTTCTATAATGCTTTTGTTCTTTATTGTTGACAAGCTGTTCAAAAACTGATCTTAACCCTGGCTGGTTTGGCTCAGCGGTTAGAGGGTCAGCCTGCGGACCAAAGAGTCATCGGTTCGATTTGGTTGCGGTTTGGTCCCTGGCCCTGGTCAGGGTTGTGCAGGAGGCAACCAATCGATGTGTCTCTCTCATGTCAAAAGTGTGAGTCCTCTTTTTTTTTTCCTTTTTAGGATTGATTTGGCAATTTCATATAAATTTCAGAATCAGTATGTCTATTTCTACCAAGATGTCAATTGGGATTCTGATAGGGATTGCATTGAATCTATTTATCAATTTGGGGAATATTGCCATCTTAACAATAAGTATTGATCCGTGAACATGGGGTGTTTTTCCATTTATTTAGGTCTTTAATTTATCTTGACACTGTTTTCAGAGCTTAAGTTTGAACTCCTTTAAAAAATGTATTTCTGAGTATTTTATTCCTTTTGATGCTATTTTGAATGATACTGTTTTTTAAATATTATTTTTGGATTGTTCATTGCAACTGTATAGAAATACAGTTGATTTTTGTATATTGATCTGTATCCTACAACCATGTTAAATTGATTTATTAGTTCTGATAGTTTTCCAGTGGATTTCATAGGATTTTGTAAGTGTAATATCATGTCATTTGTGAATAGAGATAGTTATACTTATTCCTTTCTAATATGAATGCTTTTTTTTAATTTAAAATTTTTATTTTTTATTTATTGATTTTAGAGAGGGAGAGAGAGATAGAAACATTGATGAGAGAGAACTGGCCGCCTCCTGCATGCCACCCACTGGGGATTAGGCCCACAACCTGGGCATGTGCCCTGAACGGGAATCGAACTGGTGACTTCTTGGTGCATGGGTCAATGCTCGACCACTGAGCCACACCAGCCAGACCGAATGCTTTTTATATCTTTTTCTTGTCTAATTGCCCTGGCTAAAATCTTCAGTACAATGTTTAATAGCAGTGGCAATACCAGACTTCCTTGTCTTGTTCCCAATCTTAGGGGGAAAGCATCTAGTCTTTCACAATTTGGTATGCTGGTAGCTGTGGATTATTTTTGGGATGCCCTTTATCAGGTTGAGGGAGTTCCTTCTATTACTGGTTTGTTGAGTGTTTTTATCATTTAAAGTTTTTGGAGTTCTAAAATACATTTTTTGCATCTGTTGAGGTGATTATGTGATTTTGTTACTGATATGATGTACTATATTAATTGGTTTTTGGATATTAAACCAAACTTCATCCCTGATATAAACCCCATTTAGTCATGATGTATAATTCTATTTATATGTTGCTAGATTTGGTTTGCTGGTATATTGTGGATTTTTTTTCTTTCTTCTTTTTGATCTGTAGTTGTCTTGTGATGTCTTTGTCTAGTTTTAGTATCAGGATACTACTGGCTTCATAAACTGCTTTGGAAAATACTCTTCAATTTTTAAGAGTTTTTGTATTGAAGTATTTGTATTCTTTCAATGTTGGTAGAATTCAGCAGTGAAGCCCTCTGGGCTGGGGCTTCTTTTTCTAGATAGTTTTGTGATTAATGATTGGTTCTCTTGTTATAGGTCTTTTGAGATTGTTTTTTTCTTCTTGAATCAGTTCTTGTGATTTGTATGTTTCTAAGAATTTGTCTATTATACTTAGATTATCTAATTTGTTGGCATATAATTGTTCATAGTATTTTCTTACAATTCCTTTTATTTCTTTTGAATGTGATGGTAGGACCCTCAGGGATAGTATAACCTCTAAAAATAAACTATCAAAAAATACTCAGGAGTTTGCATGCTCTTTAGTTATGTTGCATGCAAATTGTTTTCTCACATATGATAAGAGCCAGCTGATAAACAGAGTCAAGAATAAAATTAAAGTATAAGACTTGAAAGAGAGCCTGGCTGGTGTGGCTCAATGGTTGATGTCAACCCATGCACAAAGAGGTTGCTGGTTCCATTCCCAGTCAGGGCACATGCCTGGGTTGCAGGCTTGATCCCCAGTGGAGGGTGTGCAGGAGGCAACTGATTCATGTTTCTAACTCATTTTTGTTTCTATCTCTCTCTCCCTCTCCCTTTCTCTCTCTCTCAAAATCAATCTAAATATTAAAAAAACCCAGAAAAAACTACCACTTGTAAGGGAGTTGAAAAAAAATTATGCAATCTAGGAATAGTATATCTTGTTTGCATGTATTGGGGATAAACTAATTAGCTGGTAGCTACCAAAGAGATGAGACTGGATCCCTTTGAACACCCTACTATTCCTCAGTAGGATTTTCTAAAAAACTGTGATAGATTAACTATATAATATATACATTGTAAACTGCCTATAGATAATGTCTTCAAGTGTTGTCCTGTCATTTCCATGTTAGGCCAGGTATGTGTCATTTCTCAAATTAGAAATCTCTTGGTAGGTTCTAGAATCAAATTTCCTTCTTGGACAGTTGTATGTCCTAGAACCTGAACAGAGTTAGCTGTTGTTAACAATATTATATTGTCTACCCACCTGTGTGTTGTTTCTGGAAGAAATACTTTATGAAGAAATGTAAAGTTACAAACTTCATTTTTTTAGAGTTACAGGAAGTCCCAAAGCTGAAGATAGTATTATGACTGCAGACAATGTTCATCCAAAGCCTCAGAACAGTGAACATTCATGTAAGACACCTGCAGAGTCTGACTCTGATTCTGGAGAGCCTAAAACTTTAGATTTGGAAGGAAGGTATGCATATGTTCTAAGGATCATAGGTTTTACTCACTATGTTACTCATTGCAGTGTAACAAATTATCTCAAAGGTTAATAGTAGCTTGCAAACATTTATTGTTTCATGGTTTCTGTGGGTCAGAAATCTGGGAGAGGCTAGCTGGCTATTTCTGGTTTAGGGATTCTGCATTCAAGATGTCTGTTTGATGTGCAGTCCTTTGAGTACTTTCCTGGAACCGGGAGATTTACTTACAGGGTGGCTTCCTCACATGACTGTTACCTGGAGGCCTCAGTTTCTTGTAATTTGGTCCTCTCCATAGGGCTGTTTAATATGGCAGCTAGCTCCTCACAAAGCAAGTGAGCTAAGAGAAAGTATGACTGTAATGGAGGTCAGAGTGCCTTTTAATGTCTCTGAAGTTGCACACTGTCATTTTCAGTTTATTCTGTTTGTTAGAAACAAGGCACTAAGTCCAAACCATATTCAAGGAGAGGAGAATTAAGCCCTGCCTCTTGAAAGGAGGAATATATAAGAATTTATAAGAATATATAAGAATTTGTGGAATTATTAGATATGGCACACTCAATGAACAAACCAGTGAACTACTCTTCTAATATCTAAAGTTATATACCCTTTTTGAACGAGTGGTAAGTTATAGCAAATTCTCAGGCTTAAGGGATGGCTAAGATTTTTTTACTATTTGGTGGGTTTGACTACTAGTTCTATAATAGGCTCATAACAGGAGGAAAGGGATCTAGAACTGAGATAAGCTAGATCATCTCTGAATAATTTCTAGACTATATTTTAAATTTCATTTTTCGGTAGCAGTTTTTAAAAAAATATTAATCTGATTTATATCTAATTTTATTTCTTATAATTTGATTTTTATTGAAGAATATTTGATATTAGTTAAATTTATAACTGTGGTCCATGAGTTACTTTAAAAGGCTATAAAATTCAGAATTTATTTTGTTTGACAGTCAGTTATAGAATTAAATTGTAGATTCTTTGTTTTATGCAGCAAGTAAGTATATTCTTGATGACCTATAACATTGCTATTGGTTTTATAAGAAAGAAACCTTTGTCAGTTTTAGAAGAAAAACAACCTTTAAGGTAGATAATTTGATATATGCTTTCTAAAAGTACAGATTTTTATGATTTGCTTTTTCTTTTTTCTTAAGTGGACCTTTTAGGCTCAAGAATTATTTAATGTCTGGAAAGAATAATTCAGATGCAGATGATGAGGAAGTTCAGGAAATTTCAGGTAAGTTACTGTTTATTTTCTACTGTCTTGATTTTTACGGCATCATGCATATAGAATTGGGTGTGCTTTGTTTTTTTTAAAGTAACACCAATGGCAAATGTGTATTGAGTACTTACTCTTTTTTTTTAATCCTCACCCGAGGACATTTTTCCATTTTTTGTTCAGATAGAGTGGGAGGGAGAGAGAGGAAGAGAGAGAGAGAAACATCGATGTGAAAGGGACACATTGAGTGGCTGCCACCCGCACGACCAACCAGGGCCGGGGACAAACTGCAACTGAGGTACATGCCCTTAGTGGGAACCAAACCCAGGTCTCTCTGGACCACAGGCTGATGCTCTAACCGCTGAGCCAAACCGTCCAGGGCTTGAGTACTTACTCTTATGAGCCTTTTATGTTTAGAGATTCTGAGACCTTATATCTAGGTTAGAGAGGGAGGGAGATAAAAGAGACAGAGAATGATAGAGGTGAGTGACAGTCTTTCCTTTCTTTGAAGTAGGACATAATGAAGCAATTGACACTTAAGATATCTACTTCATTATTTAAAAATGTTAGGTTGATAAGGGTGTATAAATGAAGCAAGGTTTGATTATTTCTGGAGCTAATGAGGGGTATATCAGGTTCATTATACTACTTTCTTTATTTTGAATATGTTTGAAATGTTCCATAATGAAGATTTTAAAATGCCTCCTAATGAAGAGTTTTATAAAGTTTTTATGCCTCTAAAGAATGTGTGCTTAGAATATAATCTGTTACACTGTTTTTTTTTCTTAATTCACTAAATCCTTTTTCTTTAAAAATTTTTTCTCTCCCTGTGTTTAGATTTATTTTGTTATTTTTCTCCTAAGTTGAATGCTTTCCATATTTATTTTTCTACTTTTTATTTGATAAAGAAAAAACTGAATTTTCCTGAGTATAGTTTTGGCTTAATTTTGTAGGTGTTTTTAAAAAATAGTTTCTTATTTTATTATACTCTATATTTTAGTGATTTTTCTTTGACCTAGTATTTATTTAGGAGTAAATTAGTCAAAAGAATCTGGTTCTACCATTTATTAGCTATGTTTTCTTGAGTAAGAAATTTCAGTGTTCTTATCTGAAGCTTCAGCTTCTTTATCTGTAAAATGGACTGATGAGTTTGAGAGGGTTGGTGTAAGGTTGGAAGCAGTGAGATCAGTTGGTGAGACATTAGTACTCCCACTGAGATGTGGTGGCTTGGACTGTAGAGTGGTAGCAGTGGAAAGGTGGAGAGCAGTAGTAGGATTATAGGTATTTTTGAAGGTAGAGTCAACAGGATTTCCTGATGGATGGGATTTGGAGGAAAAGAGAAAGAGAGGTATCAGGGATTATGTTAAGGTTTTTGACCTGAGCACCTGAAAGAATGGTGATTTCATTGCTTGATTTAGAGACTACTAGGGAAGGATCAGATTTCAGAAAAAGAATAGGCTCTTAAATTTGGATGTGTTACATTTTACATTATTCCGAACCTTTGTGTACTTATATTCTATTTGTAAAGTCTGTCAAGATCTGCCACAGTCTGCAATGGTCTGTTTCTTTCTCCATGTATTTACTGCAGCATTTGCTATACATGTTTCATTGCTGTTATTCAGCATGTACACCTTTATATGGAATGTATATGCTTTGGCCAAATTTATCTTCTTGGTCCTCTTACAATGCTTTTACCTCATAATCTGTTTTGTCTGATATTAATATTGTGATCCTTGCTTTCTTTGGTTTGTTGTTTCTTATATTTTTGTTCATTCTTTTACTTAAACTTTCTTAGAGAACTAAAACAAACTGGCTTAGAAATAGCACATGATTGAATTTTTTTTTTTAACTTGCTTTGTCAGTATTTTTTTCTTTAATGTTTAACACATTTATACTTATTCTCAAAACATGCTGGTTATTTCTTTGTAAAGTTGGTAGATATTCTCACATATGCTAGGAAGAACTCAGGAATTTTTTTTAACACAATGAACAACTAGTCGAGTAGTATAAATAAAATTGACTCATAATCTTTTATCCTTTAAACTATCGGCTGTTTCTCTTTTGCCTCATCATAGTTAATGCCTTTGAGTAGAAATTTGAAAGCAGCCTGTTTCTTTCTTCCTTTGTAGATAACTTGTTTTCTTTCATCTCCATGATTATTAGGATTCTTTAATCTTTGAAATTCAGGAAGTGTGTCTGTGTTGCTTTTTTTTTTTTTTATCCTCACCTGAGGACAATTTTTCATTTTTGCTCAGATAGAGTGGGAGGGAGAGAGAGGAAGAAAGAGAGAGAGAGAGAAACATCGACATGAAAGGGACACACGATTCCATGAAAGGGCTGCCTCCCACACAACCCTAGCCAGGGCTGAGGACAAACTGCAACCGAGGTACGTGCCCTTAGCGGGAACCGAACCCGGGTCTCTCTGGACTGCGGGCCAACTCTCTTAACAGCTGAGCAAAACTGGCAAGGGCCGTGTTGCCTTTTTTTTAATGAAGTAATTGTAAACTTATCTAGAAATCCCATATTCCCTTCATTTAGATTCTACAGTTTTCAGCATTTTACAGCATTTTTTTCTTCTTCTTCCCTGTCTTCCTTACACATATGGTCATACATATTAATTGTCATTGACCTCTTCTGAACTTTTGAGAGCAAGTTGCAGGCATGTTATGTGTGAGTATATGTAGACATAATGCAAGACAAGAACGGAATTACCCTTCAAATATCCAAGTCAGGAAATCAGCATTAATATAACACTAGTACAGCGGGTCCTTGTGTAATATTGTTTTGTTGTAATGTTTATGAGAAAAAAAAATTGATTCTCCATTAGGGCTATTGTCTGTGTGGAGTTAGCATGTTCTCCTCATGTCTGCATTGGTTTTCTCCAGGTGCTCTAGTTTCCTCTGACATCTTAAAGATGCACACATTAGGTGAATTGGCATGTCTAAATTGTTCCAATCTGAGTGAGTGTGGGTATTTGTGAGGTCCCCCTGTGACAGAAGGGCAGGGCATTTTGACCAGGATTGGTTTTCATCTTGTGGCCTGAATGTCCATGATAGGCTCCAACCACCCTCGGCCCTGAACTGGAATAAGCGAGTTATGAAAGAATAATCTTTGTTTTTATTAATCTTTGTTTTTATTAAATGTATGTAGAGCTCACATTTATCAAGGTTTACTAGTAGAAGTGTTTTGGGACTTAATTTAGAAGTTTGGGGATTTGACTTTTGTGATCAGAAATATGCCATAGGAACTTAAATCTTATTTATTATCAATTAGCCTGTGGTAAAATTGGTTTCCTTAAATGCTGTTTTGCTTAAAAGCCACAGTTTTCAAGACTCTATTGATAACAGTAAGTGAGGATTTACTGTATTTCTTCACTGACTTCATGCACATTTCACCAGCAGTTCCATCATTGTTCTCTTTTTTCCCTGATTCAGGATCCAGTATTGCATTTAGTTCTGTCCCTTCAGTTTCCTTCAATAAGGAACATTTCCTTAGGCTTTTTCTAACTTTCCTGAGAAAGTACAAGCTTTTCATTCTTTAGAATGACCATCAACCCGGGTCTCTCTGATGTTTGCTCATGATCAGATGCCAACCATGCATATGTGACAGAAACGATGCTGTGTTCTTTGTGCATCATGTTAGGAGGTGCACCGTGTTGACTCATTTCCTATTGGTGATGTTGCTTTTGATCACCTGTTCAAGTTATTGCCAGATTTCTCGCTCTAAAACTGCAACCGAGGTACAGGTGCCTCTTTCATAATTGATAAGTGTTTTGTGGAGTGATGTCCTGATACTATTTTGTTTCTTTTTTCTTTTTGCCTCACCTGAGGACATTTTTCCATTTTTTTTTGTTCAGATGGAGTGGGAGGGAGAGAGAGGAAGAGAGAGAGAAACATCGATGTGAAAGGGACACATCGAGTGGCTGCCACCCACACAACCCAACCAGAGCTGGGGACAAACTGCAACCGAGGTACGTGCCCTTAGTGGGAACCAAACCCGGGTCTCTCTGGACCGCAGGCTGACACTCTAACCGCTGAGCCAAACTGGCCAGGGCACTATTTTGTTTCTTTTCAAACCTCCACACCGGTCTTAGCATTTATTAAGACTCCCACTAAATCATCAGCCACTAGTGATCCCAAATTATTTTCTGTTTCCCTAATTCCTTCTCTATTATTTAGCTATCATTCCATAAGGACTACTTTTTTTTTTACTCCTTCCCCATTTATTTATTTATTTATATTATTATGGACTATACTACAGAGTTCCTATTTTATTTGATGGGCTGTAATCTTTATCATTTGTAATACTCGAATTATGCCATATTTGGTTGGTCCCTATGTCCTTATTTCAGTTGGTCCCTATGGCCTTTTGTCATATTTCTATCATGTTTTGAATACTGTCTTATTTTTTTGGCATAGGGTGTTCTAGGACCCTTTCCTCAACTCTGGAATGTTATTTCTCCTAAGGAACCAGTTTCTTTTTAGTGGAGGAGGGCTTTAGAAGCTCAGATCTGGGCCCTGGGTGTGCTCATTGTTACTGGGATATCATTGCTTCTAGGTTTTTAGTGGCCTGAGGAACAAAATAGATACACACACGTATGTATCTAAACTCTGTACACAAGCATCTACATTTATGTCTGTATTTATATTTAGAAATTATGAGTTTATATCAGTACATCTGATCCCAGTTCATTTTTATAAATCCTTTCTCAGGTAGTGAAAAATCAGGCTCCTATTATCTGCTTTGTTTCTTCTCTGACCCCACCAGCTGCCTCCAAGGCTCACTCCTGTGGGGAAATTTTCAAGCAGATACTAGGGGATTGCATGGGAAATTAGATTTTTAAAAAACATTTTAATTTTTTATAACAGCTTTATTGAGATATACTTTACAGTTAACCTATTTATAGTTTATAATTCAATGGGGTGCAGCCATCACCACAATAAATTTTAGAACATTTTTATTACTACCCAAAAAGAAACTGCATACTCTTTAGCAGGCACCTTTCATCCCCCCACTACCACCTTAAGCATTCACTAATCTGCTTTGATCTCTATAAATTTGGCTGGTCTAGACAGAGAAATTTAATTTTATGATCAATAAAGTTTCTTCCAAACTAGCAGTTTTATAAAATATCTAATTCAGTCATTCTTTTTTTTTTTTAATTTCTTTTTCTTTATTGATTTTAGAGAGAGAGAGGGAAAGACAGATAGAAACATTGATGAGAAAGAACATCAATTGGCTGCCTCCTGTATGCCCCCCCCCCCCACTGGGAATCGGGTTCACAACCTGGGCATGTGCCCTGAGACCAGGAATCGAACCAGTGCCCTATTAGTGCATGGGTCGATGCTCAATCCCTAAGCCACGCTCACCAGGCATAATTCAGTCATTCTTAATAATTTTTTGCCATCATGGACTCATCTGAGAATATAATGAAAGCTTAGATATACTTTTCAGGAAATTAATACTATGAGCAATAGAAAACTTGTTTATTTTTATTTATATATTTATTTATTTTTTATAATATGTTTTTTATTGATTTTTTTTTTTTTTTTTTTTTTTTTTTTTTTTTTAGAGAGAGAGAGAAGAAGGGAGAGAGAGAGAAACATTGATGTGAGAGAGAAACATTGATCCGCTGCCTCCTGCATGCCCCTCACTGGAGATCGGGCCCACAACCTGGGCATGTGCCCTGGTCAGGAATCAAACTGGGACCTCTCAGTCTATAGGACGATGCTCAATCCACTGAGCCACACCAGCTGGGCCTGTCTTTTATTTTTAACTCCTATGCTGTTTAGATATATTCATTGTACCAAAATCTAGAAAAGTATTACACTGTCTTTCATTAGTATTTATTCCTTAACAGTAATAAAATGCATTTTCAGGTCAAATTTTATTTAAAATACTTATATTGAAGTTAAACAAGTAATATACTTTAACTCAACATGAAATTAATGCCATTGTTTATGAAATTATCTTTTGCATTTTGCAGGTGACTCAAGAGTAAAAAGATCTAAAGTAACACAAGAGAACAAAGTACATCACAAATTAGGTAAGATTATTTTTGTCTTTTAATGTCATATTATGAAACCTCTGTTTGTAAATATAACTTAATTTTTCTCAAGTAGGGGGAAATATTATGTGGATTAATTGGCAGATTAATTAAAACTACATGTTTTAGGGTTTTGTTTTTAAACATTGATGTGAGAGGGACACATTTATTGGTTGCCTCCTGTAGACCCCAACTGGGGATGGGGATGGAATCTGAATCTCAGGTATGTGCTGTTGAATGAGAATTGAACCTATGACCCTTTGGTCTGAGGGCCACTGCTCCAACTGCTGAGCCAAACCAGCCAGGGCATATTTAGTTTTTATGGATTTCATAGTAAATCATAACAGGCCATCTGAGTTTCTTTATTGTCAATATGTATATCTTGTAGTTCTCATTCTTTGTGTCAGAGTAAGGAACATGATCCTACCTAAGCTAAGAATCTAGGATAGGGAATTCTGTAAATTATAGCTGCTAGGTGGAACTCTGACAACTTCACCTCCCATTTTTATCCATTTCACTCCTAAACAAAGTGGTAGCTGGGATAGCTAAGTATCAGGCTGGGAGCTGGGGCATCCAGCTTATGTGAGGATTAAAACTCCCTGATTCTTCCCCAAAGAGATATTTACCAGTTGAGATTCATGGGACCTCCCACCTTTGTGGATTGCTTTTTATATATATTTTTTTATGCTTGAGGCTGTGAATGCTCCTGCATTGTACCTGAAGAGAACCAATAGGAATGAAGCTTTCTCTAACCACAAACTTACATCTCAGTTAGTATTTTGCAAGTCCTAAAGAGAGACTTTTATACCTTGCCATGCTTAATACTTGTCTTGGAGTGGGATGATGACTAGAGTCAGGAATAGGCAAACAGAAGAAAAAATGTCCAATCAGCAACCAGATTGGACAATAAGCATTATCCCTAAGAACAGTATGCAACTTTTGGTGAGCTAGAACTTTTGTAGTAGATGAACAACAGTTAACAAAAGAAATATGAGCACTTTCAGAGATTCAGTTATAGCATAGAAGACTTTTTGGTACTAAAATATAATATTTCAGTTTAAAAAGTTCAGCAGATGAACTGAATGTAAAGATAGTTACCTTTGAGAGCTCAGTTAGTAGCTAGTGTTGACAGGGAAAAATTTCTCAAAGCAGAAATACAGAAGATAGAAACCATGAGGAAAACAGATATCCAATGGAAATAACATTGGAGACAACAGACAAGACATGCAAATAATAGTATCTCCAGGAGGGGAGTGGGGGGAGAAATGGTTTAAACTTCCCTGGATTAAATATAAGCTTGATTTAGAGATAAACTAAAGAACTTATATGCATATATCCATAACCAGTGGACACAGACAATAATGTGGGAGAGGCAGGAGGCGGGGTAAGAAGGGGGAGAAAGGGGGTCTGTGGGGGAATAAAAGGAGGGACATCTGTAATACTTTCAACAAATGCAGATTAAGAAAAAGACTAAAACCAGGCATAGGGCTGAGAAATAAATAAACACATACATATATACATAAATAAAGAAATGAAAGCCTGAATCTTCTATTTGAATGAGTTTACTAACTGGCAGAATTATTGAAAAATATGCACCTCTATACATAAGTGAATACAATTTCTAAATTTTAAGGATAGGAAAGTGTACATACAGAAAGAAAAAGTTAAATGACTAGATTTGCCCATCTGTGTAACAGTGGAAGAATAAAGTAACATGTATCGTTTACTTTCAGAAATATATTACAATCCATTTAACTTTATAACTACCCAAGATATCTTTCTTTCTGATAGTTGAATTTATTTTCCAGATACTACAAGACTGAGTTTAGTATCCTCCACGTGAGATACCCTTGTTAGATATTCTAACCAAGTATCATATAAATCAGGGTTGAGTCTAAAGAGAGAAAACAGTGGTGAGGAGTGATTCTTGAAATATATGTGGTTAAATTTAAATAATGTATATTTGTTTTCTATTGCGGTGTACTTAATTACAACAAATTTAGTGACTTAGACAACACATTTATTATCCCATGATTCCCTTGGACGAGGAGCCCAGGTACAGATTAGCTGGGTCCTCTGTTCAAGGGTTGCATAGACTAATCAAAAGTGTCAGCCTGGGTCCTGGCTGGGGTGGGTCAGTGGTTAGGGTGTTGGCCTGTGGACCGAAGGGTCTCAGGTTCGATTCCTGGTCAAAGGCACATACCTGGGTTGCAGTTTGATCCCCAGCCCCAGTGGGAATTGTGTAGGAGGCAAACAATGGATGTGTCTCTCTAAAAAACTCAATGGAAAAATATTCTTGGGGGAGGATTAACAACAAAAAAAACTATCAGCCTGGCTATAGTCTCCTTTGAGGTTTGGAGTCCTTTTCCAATCTCACATGCTTGTTAGCACAATTTAGTTCTTTGAAATTGTAGGACTGAGGTACCTGTTTTCTTGTTGGCTGTCAGCCATGGGTTACTATTTTCAGCTTCTCGAGGCCACCTGCCACATGACTCTTCATAGGCCCCCTCACAGTATGGCAGCTTGCTTCTTCAAAGTCACCAAGGAAGACTTTCTCTGCTTCTGCTAGATAGTATCTTATATGTATAATATACATTATCACATATATAATCTTAATGTGATCACAGAGTGACTTCCCATCACCTTTGTCATACGCTGTTGATGAGAAGAAAATCACATGCATCCTAGGGGAAGGGATTTACAAGGGCCTAACTCAATGCTGATTACCTTAGGGTGTGTCTACTACTTAATGCTAATGTATTTTGGAATTTATAAATGCTAAGTAAGGATTTTTGTAGTTATACTTTAAAATCCAAACTATGTTAAAAGTTGGTATGGTGGGGAGGAAAATAGGGGTAGAAAAGGGGTAATAAAAGTACAGTACTCCATTCTTATCCAGGGTTTGAGTTATCTGTGGTCAACCATGGTCTGAAAATATTACATGGAAAATTTCAGAAATAAACAATTCGTTAAGTTTTAAATTGCCTGCTATTCTTAGTAATGTGATGAAATCTCTCACTGTCCAACTTTATCCCTGTCTGGGATGTAAATCGTCCCTTTGTTCAGCTTATCCACGTTGTATACCTTACCCTGCTGGTTAGTCACTTAGTAGCTGTCTGGGTTATCAGATCTTACTGTTGTGGCTTTGCAGTGCTTCTGTTCAAGTAACCCTTATTTTACATAATGGCCCCAAAGTGCAAGAATAGTGATGTTGGCAATTTGGATATGCCAATGAGAAGCCATAAAAGGGCTTTCTTTAAGAGAAAAGGTATGTATGTATAGGTAAAATCATGTAATGTTTGGTACTATTTGAGGTTTCAGACATCCACTGGGGTCTTGGAACATATCCCTGGTGGAAAAGGAGGAACTACTGTAGTCTAAAAGTTTCATTTTACCAAATAAGAAAAAAGAGAAGATAGCATGTCTTCATAAGGATTACAGTTTTTCATATAGTGGTGAAAAAAATAAGAGTTTGATTTTTTAGTAGCCCATATTAGAGTGAAAAAGTACAGTACAACTTTGAAGTGACCAAGGGGAGAGGGGAGAAAAGAAATGGTCACTTGATCAAACCAATAAAAATTATAAGAATCATTAATATAACTTATAAAGTAAGATGGAAGGAATAAAAGGAAGCTTGTTACACTAAATAAATATGAATGAACTGGATTCCTCTAATAAGATAGAGATTATCAGATTTGGTTAAATAATACAGATACACCTATATATGTTTATAAGAAACACTTAAAGGAATAAAAGGTTGTCAAATATTTAGGTAGCTAATATAAACAAAAAAAAAATAGTAGTGTAAGTTTGATATTAGGCAAAGTACAATTGAAGGTTAAAACAAAAGTGCTGAACAGGGTATAGAAGAACATACAATGATAACATGAACAATTAATTAATGAAGAAGATGGAAAAATAAAAAACCTAGCAACTAAAATATATAAAGAAAAAACTAAGAAAAAGCAAGGAGATTTTCATTTAAGCAATACTGTTCGACTGGGAAATTTTGATAAACCATTTTTAGAATTGGACAGCTCTAGCAAACAAAAAATAAATAAGAATATAGGAATTTGATTGTATAGCCAACTTAGTATATAGAACTTTGCATTGTTCAAATAAAGCAAGTGGATATGTGTGTTATACACACAAACATATACACACACGACTATCCCGATGTACACATTTTCTATTATGGAGCAGTTAGATGGTTTTCAAATTAATTTTTTGTTTTCTATTTCTATTATAAACAGCACTACCATAAATATTCTTTTACCTATAGCTTTGTCCATTTTTGTGAACAAACTCATTTTCTAGAAATGAAATTTGAATCAAAGAGTATTATAATTGTAGGTATTGTGAAATTGTCTTCAGTCACTAGACATTTCTACCTAAATATATGAGAGTTACTGTGTACCTTTAACATCATCAACCCTGGGTATTGTCAAGTGTTTAAATTTTTGCCAATCTAGTATCCTCATTTTTCATTGGAATTTCTTTAATTATTAGCACAAATATGTCTTAACATTTTGTTTTTCTAGTGTTTTATCTAGAAGCATTGTTAGTGTTATAGAAGGTAATGATCAATCTTTTCCCTGCAAAGTATCACTCAAATATTTATATGTCTACATTTTTATCTAATATCTTTATTCAGTATTGCCCTCCAACACACCAAATGTGCGCAGGACCAAGAGAACACGATTAAAACCTTTGGAATACTGGCGGGGGGAGCGAGTAGATTATCAAGAAAGGAAATCAGGTAAAATTTATGCTTTAATGTGGGAGAGCATTGGGTTGAGCATCGACCCATACACCAAGAAGTCACCAGTTCGATTCTCGGTCAGTGCACATGCCCAGGTTGTGGGCCTTTGTGGGCCTGATCCCCAGTTGGGGGCATGTAGGAGGCAGCCAGTCCATATTCTCATTCTTCAGTGTTTCTATCTCTCTCTCTAAAAATCAATAAAAGAAAAAAATTTTTTTTAAATTATGACGATTGCAACAGTTTATTTGTATATATTATGTGCTGATCAATGTCCTACATATTTGCATACATTATCTAACTTAATCATTTCCCTGAAATGTGATGAGATGAGAATACATTGAAATCCAGATTTTTCTAATTACTATAGAGATGCTGATTTATTTATTTATTTATTTATTTATTTATTTTTAAGAAAGAGTGGGAGGGAAGGAGGGAGAGAGAGAAACATCTATGTGAGAGGGACACATTGATTGGTTGCCTCTCGCACAACCCCAACTGAGCTGGGGATCAAACCTGCAACCCAAAAAAAAACAAAAACCTGCAACCCAGGTATGTGCCCTTGACTAGGAATCGAACCTGAGACCCTTAGATCCTTGGGCTGAAGCTCTAATACTGAGCCTAATCAGCCAGGACTGGTTTCTTTTTGGTAGCAAAGTGAGGTTGTCTGGCTTTATAGGATATTATTATTTATATAGTGTGTAACAAGGTTTCTAATTGCATAATATTAAACATAAATCAGAATATGAGAAAGTTATAACTGGCAAAGATTAAGTATTCCTTATTATTAGTTTCATTCCACTTTGTCATATATTGCTACATAAATGGTAGAGGGTGGGCAAGAAAGTATAGTCAGTGTTATCTTGACGTTATTCTCTTTGATGGCTAAATCTAAGTCAGAGGACTAAACTCATGTATGTGGATTACTATAACTATTTTATTGCTGGTCCTTTGTTATAAACCTCCACCGATGACTGTTGCTTTCAAGCAACAGAGGTCATGTAATCTTTTTTTTCATTTAAACATTTGATCAGTGCTTCTAGATTTAGGATAGTAGAGACATTAGTGAAATGGGTTGGTATTTTTGTTATTTGAAGTACTAGCTGTAGAATGCAGTAATAATAATGTGTTCTTTTGTACTTTGTAAGGAAATTACTGTAATAATTTAAAGAGTTCTGTTTCAGAGTTTTCACTTTTTCAGGTATGATACTCTATCTTTTTTGTTGTTAAATTTCAGGAGGATTTGTGATTGGAGGAATACTGTCCCCAGAAACAGTATCATCTAAAAGGAAGGCAAAAAGAGAAAAGAAAAAAGTCAACCAAATAGTTAATAGGAAAAGGATCTGTCTGGATAACAATGAAAGAAGTATGAACTTTTTTAAAATTTATTTTTGTTACAGATGTTTCTCCTTTTTCCCCCATAGACACCCTCCTCCCAATCCTGCTCCCTCCTCACAGCACTGTTTTCTATGTCCACTGATTATACATACATGCATGTAACTTCTTTGGTTTATATTTTTCTTCCTCTCTGCCCCCCTCCTCTAAGGTTTGTCAGTCTGAACCATACTCCATTCTATGTCTCAGGGTCTGTTTCGTTCATCAGCCCACCTTGTTTATTATGTTCCACAAATAAGTGAGATCATGTGGTATTTCTCTTTCTCTCATTGGCTTATTTCTCTTAGCATAATACTCTCAAGGACCCTCCATGTTGTCTCAAGGGATAAGAGATCCTTCTTTCTTATAGCTGCATAGTATTCCATTGTATATATGTACCACAGCTTTTTTATCCACTCATCTATTGATGGACACTTGGGCTGTTTCCCGAACTTACCTATTGTAAATAGTGCTGCTATGAATATAGGGGTACATATATTCTTTCTGATTGGTATTTCAGGCGTCTTAGGATATATACCTACAAGTACGATCACGGGGTAAAATAGGAATTCAGTTTTTTTTTTGAACTTTTATTTTATTTTATTTTATTTATTATTTAGTTAATTTATTTTTGTTACAAATGTTTCTCCGTTTCCCCCCACTGATACCCCCTCCCCCTCCCTCCCCGCCCTGTCCCCAGCTTTGTTGTCCATGTCTATTGTTCATGCATACATGCATATAAGTTCTGTGGTTTATCTCTCCCCCAACCCCCACTTCTGGGGATTGTTAGTCTGAACCGCACTCCCACGTCTCTGGGACTACCCCATTCCTCAGACTGTTATGTTCATTATATTTTACAAATAAGTGAGGTCATGTGATATTTGTCTTTCTCCGCTTGGCTTGTTTTGCTTAGGATAATACTCACTAGGTCCCTCCATGTTGTCTCAAAGGATAAGACATCTTTCTTTCTTTTTTTTTCTCCTCACCCGAGGACATTTTTCGATATTTTGTTTAGATAGAGTGGGAGGGAGAGAGAAAGGGAAAAACATCGACGTGAAAGGGACACATTGAGTGATTGCCACTCGCACAACCCAACCAGGGCCGGGGACAAACTGCAACCGAGATACATGTCCTTAGCAGGAACTGAACCTGGGTCTCTCTGGACCACAGGCCGACGCTCTAACCTCTGAGCAAAACCCGCCAGGGCAACAGATCAATCTTTCTTACAGCTGCATAGTACTCCATTATGTATATGTACCACAGCTTTTTTATCCATTTGTTTACTGATGGACATTTGGGCTGTTTCCAAATCTTAGCTATTGTAAATAGTGCTGCTATGAACATGGGGGTACATATATACTTTCTGATTGGGTTACAGGCTTCTTAGGGTATATTCCTAGAAGTGGGATCACTGGGTCAAATGGCAGTTCAATTTTTAATTTTTGAGGAAACATCATAATGTTTTCCATAGTGTCTGCATCAGTCTCATTCCCACCAGCAGTATACTAGAGTCCCCTTTTCTCCACACTCTTGCCCCAATTTTTTTTTACTGTTACTATTTTATTATTATTTTTATTTAATTAATTTATGTTACAGTCGTTTCTCCTTTTCCCCCCGCTGACTGCCTCCTCACCTTCCTCCCCGCCCTGTCCCCAGCTTTGTTGTTTATGTCTATTGTTCATGCATACATGCATATAAGTTCTGTGGTTTACCTCTCCCCTCCACCCCTCTTCTGGGGATTGTCAGGCTGTGCCCCACTTCCACATCTCTGGGACTACCCTGTTCCTCAGACTGTTATGTTCATTATATTTCACAAATAAGTGAGATCATGTGATATTTGTCTTTCTCTGCTTGGCTTGTTTCATATGGATAATACTCACCAGGTCCCTCCATGTCGTCTCAAAGGATAAGAGATCTTTCTTTCTTTCTTACAGCTGCATATTACTCCATTGTGTATATGTACCACTCCTTTTTTATCCTTTCGTCTACTGATGGAATTTGGTCTGTTTCCAGATCTTAGCTATTGTAAATAGTGCTGCTATGAACATGTGGGTACATATATTCTTTCTGATTGGTGTTACAAGCTTCTTAGGGTATATTCCTAGAAGTGGGATCACTGGGCCAAGTGGCAATTCAACTGTTAATTTTTTGAGGAATCACTGTATTGTTTTCCATAGTGGCTATACCAGTCTACATTCCCACCAGCAGTGTACTAGAGACCCATTTTCCCCACACCTTTGCCAACACTTGTTGTTTGATGATTTGTTGATGGTGGCCATTCTGACATGTGTGAGGTGATACCTCATTGTTTTAATTTGTGTGTCTCTGGTTATTAGTGATGTTGAGCATTTCTTCATATGTCTCTTGGCCATTTGTATGTCCTATTTGGAGAGGGGTCTATTTACTTCCTCTGCCCATTTTTTAATTGGGTTCTTTGTCTTCCTTTTGTTGAGTTGTATGAGTACTCTGTATATATTGGAAATTAACCCCTTATCTGATATATCATTGGCAATTATGCTCTCCCATAGAGTGGGTTGCCTTTCCATTTTGATGATTGTATCTTTTGCTGTACAGTAGATTTTGAGTTTGATGTCCCATGTGTTCATTTTCTCCTTTGTTTCTGTTGCTTCAGGTGATGTATCAGTTGAAATTCTGCTGCCTATGATGTCTGGAATTTTGTTGCCTACATTTTCTTCTAGGATTTTTATGGATTCATGAGTCACATTTAAGTCTTTTATCCATTTTGAATTTATTCTTGTGTATGGTGTAAACTGATGGTCTAGTTTCATTTTTTTGCAAGTAGCTGTCCAATTTTTCGAACACCATTTATTAAAGAGGCTGTCTTTACTCTATTGTATGCTCTTGCCTCCTTTGTCAAATATTAATTGAGCATAATGTCTTGGGTCCATTTCTGGGTCCTCTGTTCTGTTCCACTGGTCTATATGCCTGTTCTTGTGCCAGTACCAGGCTGTTTTGATTACAGTGGCTTTGTAGTATAACCTGAAATCTGGTAATGTGATCCCTCCAACTTTGTTCTTCTTTTTCAAGATTAGTGTGTCTATTTGGGATCTTTTTTGGTTCCATATGAACTTTTGAAGTATTTGACCTAGTTCTGTGAAGTATGTCATTGGTATGTTGATGGGGATTGCGTTGAATCTATAGATTGCTTTGGGTAGTATGGACATTTTAATGATGTTAATTCTTCCAATCCATGAACAAGGTATGTTCTTTCACTTTTTTATATCTTCCTCTATTTCTTTTTTCAGTGTCCTGTAGTTTTCTGAAAATAGGTCCTTTACTTTTTTGGTTAAGTTTATTCCTAGGTATCTTACTTTTTTTTTTGCCACAGTGGTAAATGGGATTGTTTTTTCAGTTTCTCTTTCTGTGAGTTCATCATTGGTGTATAAGAATGCCATCGATTTCCTGATGTTAATGTTGTATCTTGCTACTTTGCCAACTTCATTTATTAAGTCTAGTAAATTTTTGATGGAGTCTTTGGGGTTTTCTACGTATAGTATCATGTCATCTGCGAATAATGACAGTTTTACTTCCTCCTTTCCAATTTGGATCCCTTTTATATTTTCTTCCTGTCTGATCGCTGTGGCTAAGACTTCCAGTACTATGTTAAATAAGAGTGGCGAAAGTAGGCATCCTTGTCTTGTTCCTGTTCTTAAGGGAAATGGTTTTAGTTTTGCCCATTGAGTATGATGTTGGCTGTAGGTCTTTCATATATGGCCTTTATTATGTCGAGATATGATCCCTCTATTCCCACATTGCTGAGCATTTTTATCAGAAATGGGTGCTGGATTTTGTCGAATGTTTTTTCAGCATCTATTGATATGATCATATGATTTTTATCTTTCATTTTTGTTTATGTGTTGTGTCTCATTTATTGACATGCGAATATTGTACCAGCCTTGCATCCCTGTGATGAATCCCACCTGGTCATGGGAAATAATTTTTTTGATGTATTGCTGGATTCGATTTGCTAGTATTTTGTTCAGGATTTTGGCCTCCATATTCATCAGGGATATTGGCTTGTAGTTTTCTTTCTTTGTAGTGTCTTTTCTTGGTTTTGGAATTAGAATTATGCTGGCCTTATAAAACGAGTTTGGAAGTTTTCTTTCTTCTTGAATTTTTTGAAATAGTTTGAGGAGAATGGGTATTAGTTCTTCAAATGTTTGGTAAAATTCCCCTGTGAAGCCATCTGGGCCTGGGCTTTTGTTTGCTGGGAGAGTCTTGATTATATCTTCAATTTCTTTTGTTGTTATTGGTCTGCTCAAGTTTTCTATCTCTTCCCGGTTTAGTTTTGGGAGACTATGTGTTTCTAGAAATTTGTCCATTTTGCTTGGATTGTCGAATTTGTTGCCGTATAATTGTTCATAATATTTGTTAACGACCGTTTGTATTTCTGTGGTGTCAGTTATTACTTCTCTTTCATTTCTGATTTTGTTTATTTGGGTTCTCTCTCTTTGTTTCTTGGTGAGTCTAGCCAAGGGTCCATCAATCTTGTTTATCTTTTCAAAGAACCAGCTCTTTGTTTCATTGATCCTTTGAATTGTTTTTTGGTTTCCATGTCATTTATTTCTGCTGTGATCTTTACTATTTTCTTCCTTCTACTTGCTCTGGGGTTTTCTTATTGTTTGCTTTCTAGGTCTTTTAGTTGTGAGGTTAGATAGTCTATTAGAAATTTTTTTTGTTTCTTGAGGTAGGCCTGTAGTGCTATGAACTTCCCTCTCAGAACTCTTTTACTGCATCCCGTAGATTTTGTGTGTTCATTTTCATTGGTTTCCAGAAAGTTTTTAATTTCTTCCTTGATCTCCATGGTAACCCATTCATTGTTCAAACATACTGTTTACCCTCCATGTTTTCAAATTTCTTTGCATGTTCTTGTTGAAATTGATTTCTAGTCACATGCCATTGTGATCTGAGAAGATGCTTGATATGATTTCAGTCTTCTTGAACTTGTAGAGAATTAGTTTGTGCCCTAAT